ATTAATTTATGCAAAATTTCAGTACTGTGTTCTTCAAAATACTGTGTGTGCCAAACTAGTATTGAAGTTGTACGACAGCTATCAGAAAGAGCCAAGATATTTTAACGAATTTTTTCAAGCACATAGACCCTACTAATATATTCGCTTGCGCAAAATATCAATATAACAACTTTTATAGTTTCTGAGATATAGCCAAATAAATTTTGAAGTTGTATGGCAGCTACCCGAACCGGTACCCCGATCATGTTCAATTTAAATAGGGTTCTGGCACTTACTACAATAAACCATTTGTGAAAATTCGATGAACTTAGCTCAATTAGTTTTGGCAGGCAAAGCTAAATCAATTCAGAATTCGACGCTGATCAGACATGCACTTGAGTTTATATCTGAGACCGTTATTTCTTAGCGTTACAAACGGTAAGGCAAATTTAGTATACCCTTCGAACATAAGTTTGTACGGGTATAAAAAGTTAATTTGGGAGAATTGAAAAATCTTTAAAACTACAATATACCGCAGTTACTCAAAATAAATCTGTTGTATTAGTATACTAACACATTTACATATATAATAAAATTATTAAAATTTTTCAACTTTAAATTTTTTTTCCCTTTTTAATTCAAAAATGTTTTCTTAATTGCTTAAATCTTTCAAACACACAATTTATTATTTAAATTTACAAACTATATACATAGGTAAATTTATTTGTATTGACTACATACATATAACATTCACTAATATTTTATATACGTATTATGTACATACATACATACATATCGAGTAGGAAAAATTTCAATATAAATTATTTTAAAAAAACATAATTTACATACCTACCTACATACATACACACACATATATTTCCCATTTAATGACACAAGTAAATTTTATCGCATGAAAAAAAAAAACAGAAAATTTCATTAAAAGTTTCGCTGAAGAATTTAGAATTTAATTAAAGTTATTGAAGAAAAATCATGAGAGAAAAAAATCTTTATTACATCGACATTGACATTCAAAAAAAAAAAAAAAAATAAAGAAGATTCCAGACTTGATTCTGGTTGTATCCTGTTTCCTTTTTGCAAAATTTAAATCAAACAATAAATAAAATTTAACTAATTAAATATAAAAAAAAAAATTAAGAAAATATTCAAAAATTTTTACATAACAAAAACTTTAACTCTTTTTACTGCACTTTTCCATATAGTAAATTTTCTAGAGATTAAGTATTATACCCACATGCATACATACTAATTTAACTAATATTTAAATTTAGTTTGAAAAGAATGAATTTTTAAAAATTTTATTAAAATTTAAATGAACTTTAAAATTTACATCTTTTCTTAAATTAAAGATTCCATTTCATTATGGAGTGCAGCTAAATATTCTGTACATATATGCTTACATACTAATATTATGCTTACATACGTAATCTCCAATATCCTATCATAACCAACGAAATGCAATACATTTTGGTTGGAGATAAGGAGTTTTCAAAAATTTTCTCTATCTGAAGAAGAAAATTACTTCGAAAACAATATTTTGTAACACTAATAAATTTTTTAAAAACAATGGCCTCAATTAAATGCAAATCGATATAGAATCGATTTTATCGATCAAATAGATTTTTAAATCTATAATGGTTGTTATCTGATTTCTACCATATAGTGTTTTCTTTTCTCTACATAGCTGACTTTGAAAGTCAACTATACATTGTCGCGGTATAAGATTTAGAATTTATTAGAGGAAATCTATTAAGTGAAATCGTCTTCGGTAATAGCATGACTTTTGTGAATTAACATATTAAAAATAAATTTGATTTAATTGCAGTCGACCAGCATAATTAACGCCAATTGTACATTTCTTTGTAGACAAATGTGAGGGATGTATAAATTTTTGTATTATTCTTAAAGTTTCGTAATATCACCATAAAAACCATATAAATGATCATAAGTTTCCTTTTGAATTTGTATTAATAATTAGTAACCTATGAATGATTTTGAAAGTTATACAACAAAATATACCGTTGGTAGAAGATCGAAAATGAGTAAAAGATTTGTTCCAGACTGGGTGCCAAATCTCAAGGGTTTCCGAGTTCCAAGGATTTTAACGAATTTTCACGAAATTTTTACTAATTCAAGGTTTTTGGATTATAACTTCCATTCTTAAAAAGTTAGGACCTTCAAACAAACAGTTTCGGAAAGGCCTAGTAAAAGGCTTAAAATAGATATACTGCTTGATTCTGTATTTTATGTACCTTCGGAATACTAAGCATTCGAACTTTAGACAAAATCAAATTTTTTCTTTGTTTTATTTTTTCAGTTTTTTCTAACTAGAATAATTTTGTAAGCAATTCAAGGGTTTAAATTTTTTTTTATAGAACTTTGCCCAGCTGCTTAAATTTTAATTTAAGTGCTCAAGCCATAAACCATTTCTAAGTGGTGATTTTAAAGGCCTTATTTTTCACTATTTTTATTTTTAATTGATTTTAAGCGTTCTAATTATCAACTATCATTAATTTTTGATGACAAGAACCACTCAAAAAATAGGTGACATTTTTAAAAACCATTATTTTAATAAAAAATCTGAATTTTAATGTTTTTATGAAAATGTAACAAGAAATAACAAAATTGAAACGAAAATTTTATACAAACTTTTAATTTGACGAACAAAAATTTAATTTAAAAAATTTTAAATTTTTGAAAAGAAAAATTAGAATTTTTTATTACGAAAAACAAACAAAAATCTAGTAATCAAAAATTTTTTTTCGAAAGTTTTCTTGGTAAAAAAAATTGATAGGTTTTTTATTTTTCCCAATTTTTATAAGAAATGGTACCTATATGGTTTGAAATTTTTAAATGTATTTTACTCAGAATGGGTGCAATTTAAAAATTTGAAAAAATAATTTTCGGAATCTAGACACTATTTTGCATCTGAAGTTATTAAAATTATCCAGCTGGAGCGAATTTTTAAAGGCATGCCATATAAATTTTTGACATTTATATTAATAGAAAAAAAAAATTTTTTAATAGGAAAATTTAATTTTTCACAAAATGGAGTTTGCAAATGATACGGTATTAACACTATGGAGCTTATAAATAATTAATGAATAATTTAATTGGATTAATCAATTTGAAACATATTTCAACAAAAACTAAATTGGCATACGGTTGATGCAACTAAAAAAGTGAAATAGATTTGAATAGAAGAAAAACATAAATTTTTGTCATATTAGGCAAATTTCGTTAAATTTCGTTATTAGGTAAATTTCGAAAAATTTGGTGTTTGTTTTGAGAAATTTGTAAAATTTTAACATAAAGGAATATTAAATTGAATTTAATTTTAGTTTTATCAATAAGTGATTTGATTTTAACTAAATTTTTGGCTCACAATATTTGTGATTTTTGTGCATATCTTCTCTACCATAAAAAATTTTTCGTTCGAATGCTTTGTATTGCAAAGATACATAAAATACAGAATCAAGCAACATGCTTATTTTAATCTCTAAGAATTTCAGAAACTGTTTGTTTAAGGTCCCCATCTTTTTCAGAACGGAAGTTATAATCAAAAAAACTTGGATAAGTAAAAATTTCGTGAAAATTCCTTAAAATCCCTGGAAATCGGAAACCCTTGAAATTTGGCACCCAGTCCGGAACAAATGTTTTACCCATTTTCGATCCACTAAGCAATGGTATATGTTGTTGTATATGCCTGAATCTCCCTGTATACTCCCTATTATGGAGTTAACGGTTATAGAGAAATACCGGTTACAGGGATGAATTATGAACAAAAAATTGTTCATAAAAAATTTAATTTTAATGGAAAATTTATTTTAGCGACATCTTTCTTTACATATATGGAAATAAAATTTTTTATAGTGAATACTTCTGCTTGAGCGACATCTGGTTTTTAAACGTAAAATATTTGTTGTTTAAGAAAACTTTTTTTTTTGTCAGGTCATTTTCATTTTAATTTCGTTTTCATTTTGATCATAATTTGAACTGAAACGTAATTAAAACAATAATAAAAATTAAAAAGCATAATATAGTATAATTATACATATATTTTTTGATTCCTTGAATGTACGCTATAACCGCTACATTTATAGTTTTGAAAACTTGAAAAATCAGTAAAAAATTGTATGTTCTTTACTATTGCCGTAGTGGCCAAAATATTAGTTAATAAATTACTGCAGATCACAATCAAAAATTTACATTTAAATTTTATCAGCGAAATGTGTTTGTTGTCTTTACTAAAAAATTTTTCGTACTAAAAAATTGTATTTCACTATGGTGAAAAATATAGAAAATTTATTTTATCTGGATTAGAGAATCCTTAAATTTAAGTAAAATAGAATAAAAAACCGTATTAAGAAACATCGAATTTCAATATCCTAAATTTCAATATCAAGTCCTAAAAATGTATGTCAATATTAAGATAAAGTAAAACTACTACCATTTTTAATTCTGTTTGAATATTATGTGATTACTCCATTATATGGTTATTTTAAAGTTTTATTAATTTATATTGAGATTTGAATCAAAAATTCAACTATATCTATATGGTTCTAAAATAAGGAGAACAATAATTAATTTTGTGTCGTAATTTTAGGGTCATAATTTATTTAAAACTTAAAGTGATTTAGTTTTTTATTCCAGTAATCAAATTTCACAATGAATATTTATTTAGCTACATAAATTTTTGTGTTTAATATTGTTGCCGTAATATACAAAAGGAAATATTTCGATTGAGTATACATATGTATATTTATTTTCATAATTGACCATACCATACACTTCCTATGCTATCCGGCAATACTGATGCATGTCAAATATTCAAACTACATTATCAATTTCCTGTTTGACATTTTCTCAAATGACATATTTATGACGTTCTATGATAAATTTGATTTGGTAGTATTCCATTAGCGCTCGTGCCCATATATTTCTTTAGATTCACAGCAGGTACGTAATTAAATTTATATAAATATGACATAGTTAATAATGATAATATTATATATGACAAGAATAATAATTTATATGAAAAGAAAAATATGCACTATATATGCATTTCTATAAATAATTTACCCTTTTGTCCTAGTTTTTGTGCGTTGTTTTACATGAATGCAGATTTAATTTTAATTTTGTAGCCGTAGAAAGAGGTTATATAGTTGAATATTTTTTTATTTTCATAGTCGAAATTACATAATAATTTTAATATAAAATTTAAGGTTTTTTCTTCCCATATATAATATTTAACAAAAATTTTAAAAATGTTTATATTCACTATTTGTATTTTTATACAAATTTTAATGCATATCCACATTTGCTGATATTTTGCAAAACAATATTAATACACAAATGGACCTTTGGCTTGGACATTGATATTGAAATGGAATTGCTTACTGAAAATAATAATCATAATCAACGAATCCGTCCCTATCAGCAACGTGATATATAATCAGCATGCATATCACACAAATTTTACGTGGAGCTCACTTTGGCAATTTAGCTAAAGTTCATGGTATCGTAACATACAAAATTTCACCATTCGAACAAAAAGCTTTTGCTGGTGCCATTAGCCATGGTGTCCCTAACACAATTAGAAGGATTAGAACTAGCGTTTTTCGTGTTGTACCGCGTAAGTAAAATTTAAGTTTAAAAACTAAATCAGAACTTTGAAATATTTTTCAAATACATTGGTCTATTTTTTCTTAATTGTCAACATATTAGATTTTCAATACATACCTACATATGTATATATATACATGTATTTATTTAATTCACAAAATTTTATTTATAATTTTAGCCTTCATCATTGGATATTTGATCTATGACCTTGTTGAAAAGGAGCACGATCGCTTGTTGCGCAAGGACCCAGCAGAATTTGCAAACGATTCTTAAATTTAGTTAAATTATATTAAAAATTGATTTTAAAGAATATATTGGTATTCACAAATCATTCACAAAATGTAACGCTTTGAAAGTTTACATCATAAAATTGTGTGTTAAAAATAAATTGCTAGTGAAGAAATGTTAAAGATTTTTTTAATTGCACTTAAAAGTTTATCGATTTTATGACGAATCAATCATAACAAGGTTATCCATTGTTTACTAATTACGTTTGTATAAGGATGCAGAGTTTTTCAAGGAAAGTGCATAAAGGAAATTTTTATGCAACAAAGAATTACGCAATCGTAATTTGAAATTATCCCTCCCCACTTTTAGGTATTTATGTTAATTCCAAAATTTGAGGCAATTATAAAAATTTAATGTAGAAGCACTAAAGATTATCAAAACATTTTTTTTTGTATTTAATAGTAAAAATTCATATTTTTTTTTATTTTCTCTTCTATACAGTCGTTTTAATCTATTTTGTAGCTTTATACATAAATTATAGATTTAATTTAATAACTAATTATTTAGTAACATCAGGTAAAATAATATAATAAAGCTATTAGAACTAAGAAGACTATTGACAGTATGAAAAAAAGTGTGGAAAGGAAAAAAAATAAAATTCTTATTTAAAATTCTCAAATACATAAATACAAGTAGGTACTTAAAAATATAAGAATTTATTTTCAGACTATTTTATACAAATTATCACACATAATCTAGTTGTATATAAATTTGTTTAACTCCAATTGATTCAAAAATCATTCTTGCATGTGTCACAACGTATCTCGGATCAACATTTCGTGAAACTTCTAATTTTATAGCACCAACATAAACTTCTGAGCATAATGTCCAAAAATGTGGTTCCTGTACGGCATATACGCCAGCTAATCCTGTAACTTTTTGATAACATTGAGGTAGGGCACGATCTAATCCCACAGGTTGTCTTTGCATTAATACCATAACTGATTCTTTTATCAAACTAAGTACGCTCAGCGCAATTAATACACCAATAAATATTGAACATATTGGGTCAGCAATCATCCAACCAAACATTTGCATTAATACCGCTGATACAATTACACCAACGGAACCTAATGTATCAGCTAATATATGAAGAAAAACACCACGCATAATTTGTGAATTGCCACCACCTAAATCAATTGGTGCACCGTGACTATGTCCGTGATGATTCATACTGTTATGATTTTGATTATGACTATGTCCGTGTCCATGGCCATCTTCATGATTATGACCATGTTCACCATGGTTTATTTCAATAAGAGGATTGTGTTCTTCATGTGAGGAATGTGAATGGGAATGTCCATGACCACCACCACCACCATGTGAATGTCCATGTTGAAATGCATAAATTCCAACTAAATTGACAAGAAAGCCAAGTACAGATACAACAAACAATCTTTCATGTTTTACTTCTGGCGGCTCAATAAGCCGCTCAACAGCCTCCGACAATATAAAGAATGATATAAATAGTAAAAATAAACTGTTAACAAAGCCAGCTATAACTTCAGCTCTTACATAACCGTAAGAGTATCGTTCGTTTGCTTTCCATTTTGTGATGACAGATGCTGCTAAACCAGCCAAAAGACCAGTACAGTCAAAGAACATGTGAAATGAGTCTGATATCAGACCTAAAAGAAAAATTATCATAAATTACTTTCATTGGACATGCAAAAGATCAAAGAATTACTATGGCTTAACCAAATAGGATTCAAAAAAATTAAGCAAATATCTACTTCTTAAAATTTTATTATCAAGTAGATGACAATCACAATAACGAATGAACTCTTTATATTAATATTTTTATGGTAGGCTCGTCACCTACCAAATAATGAACTCAATGACGTTAGAAACTGGTTCATGGTTATCCACAATATCATGCACCAGCCCTATGCTCCTCTCAAGAAAGAAATAGGATAAAAAAAATTAGTCAAATAATATGCTACTTTTACAACAAATTATCCAAATTAGTAAAATTAAGTTATGATGAGGACTGATATCTTTTTATTTTTCAAAAATCATCAGAAATATATAGGTAAGTAGGTGGATCGGCGTATGTTGAAGTAAATATGTTTAGGTAGATTATTCATCGCAATCAATTGGCACATAATTGTAACTCAAAATTGTCACATTATTTATATTAAGTATATACATTATGTTGTACATATTTATGTAGGTACCCACCTAGTTTAAAGTAAACATAGCAAATTAAAAATATTTTATGACGAAATCTTATCTTATCTCGTCACATTAAATCGTTGCTTCTAAGCTAAATATGCATAGTAAGTGTTCAAATATACAAGAGAAAAATGGTCTGCCTACTGAAGTTACAATGCCTTAATTAAAATAAAAATTTATATTAAAATATTTTGTTTAGCTATACGAATATCATTATAATATTCATTAAATAGGCCAAAAATAATAATTGCATATTAACTGGATATCCTCAATCAACTGTACTCAAGGACGGAAATTACTTATTGTGAGTCAATAACCTTGTCATAATTTTATTTTCTATATATTTGTATAGCACATACAATTTAAACTTTATATTTATATATCAACATTTAATTAATAATTCTTACCCAAACTGTTCGTCCATACTCCATATAATAATTCAACAAATGCAAAACTTAAATTAAGTAAAAGAAATAATAATAAATTTCTTGAATTTCTATCTGAAAATATTAAACGTTTCCAACCATTTAATTTTTCTTTAATTCTGTAAACAAAATTTCGATTATCTCTATGTGAAAGTGGTAGTGGAAGCATGTTTTAAACTTTTTTTTACTATTTTTAATTAAAACTAAAAACTTATTTTAAAATTGTAAACAAAAACAATAATGATGTGGAATTCCCGTCTTAAATTAGAATGCTTTATTTAGTTACAATATAAATTTATTGCATACGTGGTGTATTTTCTTTATTATTCTAAATTTTTTTTACTAATCTATGAAATTTTAGATGAGTAAATATTTTGATTGACTATATTAAATGTGTTTTAAACACTTTATTTTAAAAAAATATTATAATACAATAATTAAATTATGTGCAAATTAATTGTGATTTTTAAAAACATTTTTAAGAAATTCGTTTGAGATTTAGATACATTCTTTTAAAAAACTATTTTTGTCGAAAATATTACCGCATCTGTCAACAATAGAGAAATGAATTAATGGTATCGATTGACATTTTTGACAAAACATTTTGATTTGTCAAATTAATGTTTACTTGGTAATGCCAAATGTTAACACAAATCTTAATCTTTTACATTTTTAAGATATGAAAAATTTAACAGCCCCGTCACACATGCAATCTTTACTTTTGCAATTGTTTAATTGTTTATTTTTGTTATGTTAATTTATATTAACGTGCGCACAGATACAATTGTAGGATTTTATCAAATTATGGAATCAAACAGTTACCATTTTAGTAATATTTTAAGAACTGTTTTCAAATTTTAGAGCTCTACCGCTTAATTATGAAATCGTTGCACGCACATAAATAACTAAACTGTAACGTCAATTCAAATCGATTGCGTCAACTAAAATTTGCTATTAGTTTATAAAAAATTACAAACTGTATGATTGTTTAATTGTATGTGTGTTAACAATATTATTAAATTATCAAAACAAAATTTTTTAGTTCAGGTTGAAGAGGCTTACGTTACAAAAAAGCTAAAACTTCAAAATATAAAATAGTATGAATTTTTGAAACAAGATAATGATTTCAAAATTATTCACCCCTGGTCTATTAAAAAAAAAAATTGTTTAAAGGGATTGCCGGAAACATTTTTGGATGTGACATTATGTTTGACATTAAAACTGATTTTGACTTTTCGGCAAAGTTGGTAAAATTGACTATTTCCTTTCTCCATCTTTTTGCATTGAAATATCACAATGGTAAGTTGTTATTAATTAATTTTTTTAATTTGGGAAAATTGTGAGCTTTAATTTTTTATATAATAGTGAAATTATGATTTTTAATATATTATTCTTTTAATAAAACATAAATTAAAGCTTCTGAAATTCATAAATTATGTGTAGTTTCAAAAATAAAAGTGTTCACAGTTTCCGCCGCATGGTGTGTTATTTTATTAAATTTAATTTTAATTATTTATATTATTTTAGCCGCCAAAGAAGGACTCTAAATCTGCTGCCAAGCAGCCACAAAAAACCCAGAAAAAGAAGGAAGGAGGAGGAGGCGGTAAAGCCAAGAAGAAGAAGTGGTCAAAAGGAAAAGTTCGTGATAAGTTAAACAATCAAGTTCTTTTTGATAAAGCCACATATGACAAATTATATAAAGAAGTACCACAGTATAAATTGATAACCCCCTCAGTTGTGTCTGAACGTTTAAGAATTAGAGGTTCTTTAGCTAAACGTGCACTTGTAGAACTTAGAGAAAAAGGTAGTTTTTTGTAAGATATTTTATTATAAAATTATACATGTATATTATTATTTTAGGTTTGATTAAACAAGTTGTTCAGCATCATTCTCAAGTAATATATACAAGAGCGACAAAAGGGGATGACGCGTAAATATTTATAAAAACATAAATCAAGAAAAATAAAAAATTTTTTGAGATAAGTAAAAAATGTGTTAAATTTATAGGATTACATTTAAATATTGTTGATACATAAACAATTAGTCGAAATTTGTGGAAGAATACTTAGTTATTGTGCATTCATTACATGAATTCTTACGAGATTTATTAATCTTTCATTTTTTCTTTTTCGCGTAGTACTTAACATGAGTATGTAATTCCTTAAAATTATTTTTTGTTTCGAGGTACAATCTTGTAAACATCTAATACAGTAAATAATAATGTCTAGGATTAAACCGAAATCAATGTTAATTCAATGGTTATGCAATGAAAAAAAGGCATCTTCTATGTTTCAGGTGTTCAATTATTACCTTATTTGTTATGTATTCCGATTGCGGGATAGTACATCATGTAATGCCAAAAGGATTTTTAAGTAATAAAGCAAAAAATTACAATTTATAAATAGGTAACTATCTACGCAGTACCTAAATACCTATGTAGATAAGAATCCACCTGCATCTTAAAAATAAAACCATAATATTTGAAATGTGTATTCCACTTGAGTGGTTTAACAGTAGAGACTTTAAATTTTAAATATTAGAACCAGAAATTTCTAAATATTAAAAATTTAATTGCTTTCCATAGTTTTGGATTTAACATGGAATTTAAAACTGCCTTTTTCCCCATTTATTTTAAAAATTACTGTTGTACAAATATATGTATTTATGTACATACATACATACATAATATAACAATTTTTTCTAAAGATGTGTTTATTTCTCTAGACTAAATCTAGATTCCAGACCATTAAATATGTACATGTTAGTTTACATATTTATAATTGCCACCAGTTCGTTAAGAAGGAGGTTTGCAGAGAAATTCCTTGAAGTTTTTGAATTTTATTTTGTGATAAAGAGAGAATTATTTTCTGTATTGAATGTATCCATAAAAAAAATTCATGATTTGGTATATTTTCAAAATGTAAATTTAAATTGGTTTAGCTGCAATGTGGAATTTATTCAAACTAGGTAAGTAGGTTGTAAGTACATACATAACTATTTCACTGCTATATCACAAAATTCGGCAATAACTACAAAAAGCTCATAATGGTTAAATTAAACTGGCATAGTTCAGCTTACCCCTATAACAAAAAATGCAAAAACGTTCAAATGAATTAGTTTAAAATTTGTTAATTTGAAAATATTTTTACTTACATTAGTCATTGGCTGAGCCTTTTCTTTTGTTATTAGACAATTGATTATATAAACTGGCATTGCAGAAAAAGCTAAAAAATTATCTTTTAGTTTTAGACCACAAAATGCAAATAAAATTTGGTGAAAAAAAAGGACTGGTGAAAAATTAAAGATGAATGGTACATTATAATTACGGTATAAGAAGAAAGCCGCTATCTCCCTGAGTTTGCGAAACTTAAAAATTCTTGCTTTGTTCTTAATTTATTTCATTAACAAGACACATTTCCGCACAAAATTTCAAATATCTGTCATAAATTGATTTCTGAGTAAACCCTGCAACAGACGGAAACCAGTATTTTTGAATTCACTTGGAAGTGTTCTAATAATGTTTTGACTGTTATCTTCCCTTACTTTCAAGACCTACAAAATGAAATGAAAATTATAAAATTATAAAATTAAATTATTATTTAAAATTTATGTAACCTGACCATTGGTGCAGTTGTTATGGCACCGGTCCTTTATGCCACCGGTCCTTTAACTCTCGGGTTTAAACCCCGGTCAGGCGGTCAGGTCACTATAAAAATTATATTCAATATTATATAACTTAATATACAATAGTCATAAATACTATACAAGTAATTTTCAATAATATTCAATATTAAGAACTAAGAAAAATAAACAGTAAATATTAATAAACATAAATAGGTATTTAATATAAATAAAAACTACGGCAGGCTAGTCACCGACCTAATTAACTCTATGACGCTATGAAAATTAGGGCATGATATCATTAGCCCTAGCCCTATGCTCCTCCTAGGAGTGAAGAAGGAAAAAAAAAATTTTAATTTATGTTAAACTGTATGTACATATTTCTAGATTTTCACGAAATAATATTCCCAACGTCATTTTATAAAATACATACACATACAAATATTACATACATACCTATGTACTCGTACATACATACATCTAATCGGAAACAAGGTGTGGATCATGGAATTTTAGTTGAATACAAAATGTTCAAGTTAATTTTATGTTCAATTCTTCTATAAGTACTTAAATTAATTGAATTTGAAGATCACTATCGTATTGGCGTTTATTTTAAATTATAGGTTACCTATAAATACAAATTAAAAAATTAATATTTTTGAATGGAACATTTTTGTTATTTTACATTGATATATATACATATGTACATATGTATGTATTCAGTTAAAGATGGATAAGTTGCGATTTTGCAAAATGAAGGTCAAGGGAAACGAAAGTGTCGCATATTTAACAAAATAAATTAAAACTTTCAAACACGAAAACTTTGAGATTATCAAATTGATAAAATTAAATTATTAAAATTTCATAATCTCAGAAACTTACATACATACATCCTTATTAATTTAATTGTAGTTATCTACATTTTATCTAAATTATCATTTGTGAAAATTGATTTAACAAAATGTAAATACAATAAATTTCTAAAAGAACATAATGAAATTTGAATGATTAAGCACGGCATTATTTAATCATTTTTAATTATAAACTTCCGCGTGCATTGGCATGCAAAAATCAATATAAAAATGTTGTTACTGAAAAAATATGGATTAAGTCAAGTTTCAAATATTTACTTGAAAAGATGCAACAATTCGTGTTACAAGTTACATTAGCAGTTTTATTTGTTTTATCGGTATGTTTAAATTGTATACAATCTTCCTAAAAGTAATTTTTCTAAAAAATACTTTTCTATGTAATTTAGGGCCATGTAACAAGCCAAGGGCCTGGAGGTGGAGCTGGTGGAGATATGGGCGGCAGAGCTGGGGCTGGCGTTAGCATGGGAGCCAATGTTGGAATGGGAGCCGGAGCCGGTGCTGGAGCTGGCGGCGGAATGGGAGGAAATAGTGGAATGGGAGGTGGAGCAGGGGGTCCACCGGGTGGTATGAGAGGGCCTAACAAAAAATTTTATGAAGAAAATGAAAATGTTGGAATAGAAAATCCGAAAGAAACGAGAATAAAAAGGAGTGTTCAAACCTTGCCAGATAATTATATAAACAATGAACAATTTTCCGGTTTAACTAAACAGGAACAAAATATAAGATTAAAACGCGAAATACTAAAAAATGAATTTAATCAATTTGAACAATTTCGTAAAGAAAAATTATTTTTCCAAATGAGACCAAAACGAACTCCCAAAGATTATAACGAAGATCGTTTATCAAGTAGTGAAGAATCTGGTAGTGACGATGAAAGTTATGAGAATAGTGAAAGTTCCGAACAAGATAATGGTAAAAGAAATCGTCGTGCTGTGTTTGATGGTAAAACTCGCCATATTAAAGGTAATCAAAACGGAAATTACATGGAAAATATTAAACCATCCTTGATTATATCAGAACGAGGAACTGTTCAAAGTTTTAGTCGTGTTTTTGTTTAATTCTAATTTGCAAAAAATATCAGAAATTAAGAATTGATGTATTGAAAAATTTGCTTTAAAAATTTATTTATAAATAATTAATGAAACAACACTATATCCTCCGGCATTTCTATTTTTTTTTTTTTTTGAATAAAATTTTAAATGAAATTATTAAAATAATAACTAAGACTTTTAATAATAATGTTGATCAACATGATTTGCTTCTGACGTTGCTTCAAATGCTATACGTTCAGCTTCTCTCTCGGCTGCAATGTGAGCATGTTCTTGAACAATTTTATCATATAAATTTAAATGTTTATTTGTTGCACTTATAACTGCTTGACTGTTATATGGATGAGGAGCATTTGCAACTGCTCGAGCCTGCAAATAAAAGTATGTAAATAAATACAAATTAATTTATAATTAGAATATAAATAACAAATCGCGTATATTTACATGATCTTGTAATGTATTTCCTGAATTTGCATGAGCTTGTGCTATTTCATTATAAAGTTTTAAATGATTTGCAGCAGCTCTACGATTTGCTTCTGTATCTTCTAGTGCATGACTTAATTTTGGATGAAAACCATTTTCATCAGCAATATATTGAACAGTTCTTACTTGATTTTTTGGATCAACATAAGAAAATGATCCTCTAATTGTACCTGAACCATCTGAAACTTCTGTATGTGTACGATCTACAGAACCTGAAGTAATGTAAAATTCTTATTATAATTTGTATCGTAATAAAACATAACATTAATTAAATAGATTAACATTATTATGTATTGACTAAATTACAAAATATTCCAATGAATTTCATTAGTTGATAATTTTATAAATCGCTAAGGAGACCTAGAGGGTAAACAATTAGAGTTCTTCTGGAAAATTTCGTTGCATAATTGTTTTTCAAATATGTACATATATGCACATATGAAATTTAGTAGCTATAACTTCTACATTCCAAGAACATCTAGCTCGATATATACGATTTTCTAGTCATAATACAATCAATACAAACTTCGGTACCTACCACATAATATGTTAGTAAATCTTAAATTATTATTATTTACATGATAGCCTTGCATTTAGATTTCAAATTAATTATTTAATTAAATAATTTCTAGGAAGTAACTATTAGATAAACAACATGCTAAGAGCATTTAATTGCATATAAACAAAAATATTTTATATGTATGTACTTGAATATACTAAAAATGCTTCCTAACGGCTTAATATACAAAATATTTCTGCAAAATACTATACATTACATATGTAAAAATTGTTACGTTTATAATGCCCAATAAAAAAATACAGTAATATAATTTGTATATGTACTTCTGAGGGCTTCTTGTTTAATGAAATTTTAATATTTTATTTAAATAATTATCAATAATAGCTACTCTATAGACAAGTAATTATAGCCAAATAAATCCCAGATATCTTAAAAACCTTAATCATGAAGGCTTAGGTTTCTATAGTAATAAAATATTTTTCATTGTGATTCGTGTTAAGAATTATGAAAGCTAGAGCCAACTACTGAAAAAATTCACTACATTGAATGTGCATTTAAAATTTTTCTATAAAATTTAATTCAAAATATTTGCACGATTTTCAATTTATTTAATCAACAATTCCAGACATCATGTAATTAAAATTAAAAAAATTCAATTAAAATTTTTTAAAATTAGAAATTACTTAAATTATTTATGAAAAATTTCACATATAAACAACAAAATAATTTGATTTTATATTAAAAATTTGAATAAATTGCAAAAAGAATGTTGATAAAATTATTCAAGCAAAAAATATTTCATAATAATTATTTAATAAAATTCAAAAATATAAAATATATGTACATACCTGGTTCTCTACCAGCAGAATAACTGAATACATATGGTCTTGGAGGTGGCGGAGGTGTTGAAGGTTCTTCATGTTGTTGTTGCTGTTGATGTAAAATATGTGAAACATCAGCTACTACCAATGTTAAACCGAATAATAATGTAACCTTTATGAATAGACAAAATAATTTTAGATTTTTTAATTAATTATCACAAATCTTGAAATTTTCCTTTAAATTAATAAAAATTTTAAATATTTTATTTTAATTTAGAGGTATGAAATTTTCCAAAATTGTCATTTTTTCAATTATTTTATAATAAAATTTTTATTTAAAAATATTTGCATATTTTTAAAAACATAAAATTCAACAAACATATTCATATGTGGGAATGGGTAAAGCTAATTAAAATAGCTCTTTTCTTTTGTTTTTGTTTTTCATAAATCTACTTCAAATATGAATAATTATTGCATCATAACTTGTTTATTCAAAAGCACAAGTATTCAGTCTCTTTCGTCTATAATATAAAGTTCAATTTAATTGGTGTATTAACATTAAAATGTAATTGAAGAAGTATTGAAAAATCATATTGATTTATATGGGGCCCCATAACGTAAAAAAACACACATACGCACACATCAGATATATGTATGCTATTTGTATAACAAAACAACAAAATCAATCATAATCATTTAAGGCGATTACGGGCATTATACCTTATTGATATAAAATGTATATTACAGGGTTATTGGTTCAAAATTCCAAAATTGTTTCATATAAGCCAAAAAAAAAAAACAAGAAGTGAAAGACACAATTTTACACTTAAATTTTATTTCAACTTCCCGTCAGATTTCAAAAATGGTCAAAAAATTTCAAATAACTTTTTTAAATTTAAAAAAAAAAAAATTACTTCATGTATTTTTAATTTTATTTTTACTTACAAATTGTATAAATAACTTCATTATTTTAAATAAAATTTTTTATTTTATCCGTTTTTAATTTTTAATATTTGATATTGTTCGTGTTTCAACGATAACTAAAATTTTTATATCTTAATCAAAAGATTTTAATGCTGAAGAAGAGTTTAAAAGAAAAATGAAAAGAAAACTTTGACTTAAAAATTTTTAATGTGTATAGAAAGAGAAAAATCGAGACTTATTTGAATCAAAATTATTTGGTGGGGAATCTTCAACTTTTATCATTTTTTGTTATACCAATAATGTATATTGCCATTACACCGGTTTAATAATAATTCAATATTGATATTTGGCAAATATATTGAACATATTATGCGAATTAAAGTGAATGTCTTAGAATATATTTCGATTAATTTATTATTTAAAATTATAATTTCCATATTGATATTATACTTATATACCAAACCAAACCACTGTTCTGGTTATAACACCACCACGGGTCAAATTTTTATCAAAATATCATTTTATCAAAATAAAATTCCAAAATTTAATTATATTATTTTAAATTTATTTATCTTTATAGAAATTTTAAGATGCAAATGACTTAAAACGTAAAAGGACAATGAAATATTTGTTGCGTCTCATATAAACTCTATAAATTTTTTTGAAAATCATAAAAGGAAAATGAAAGTTGGTTTCTCCATGTGGCAGCCTTGTACTAATCAGAGCAGTAACAGTGACTAATCTATCTATATATTCGGCATTAATTTTCATATTCGATAAAATGCTAAACATAAAATATTTTCTAAATTTCAATCCAATTAAATTTGGATTTTAATTTTAACTGATAAATTTTCATTTCATAATAATTTTGCTGTAATTGTGAAAATTTAGCAACGTTTATGAACACACTGCAACAGTTTAGGAGCATTTGTTTAAGAACATAATTGCAAGGCAGTTTTCACTTGTTGCTTTATAATGATTATATCGCGTTTATGAAAAGACCTATAAGTTTGATTGATCGTAATTTGTTAATTTTATATGATGAAATCATAAAATTTTTAAAAATTTCAATTGATTGAATTAAAAAAAATTTATTAAACAAAAATCATTGTTAATTTTCATTGAAAAAATAAGTAAAATCGAATGAGTATTAAGAAAAGAAAAAGAAATATGAGCAACTTTCTTTATGTAAAGAATTAATTGTCTTAATTGGTACAGGGGCCCTACTATATGTAATTCGATTTTCATGTTTGCAGAAATTGGAAACAGCATACCATAAGAAAATCGTTTTACGAAAATCGAATTACATATTAAGACCCTTATATACATCTAATCTTATACACTTGCATAAGATTTTATTTGCAGTATATTTAAATGAATGGTATAAGGGAGGAGTATAAATTATATATAAGACAAAGTTACTCATAAGTCCATTCGGTAAAACTGATCAAAATTCATATTGTTCATTTCTTTGAAATTTGTATTTATAAACTCATCTGACATGTTTTGATAAATTTTGATATTAAATCAATTAAATCGAATGAATTTTTTTTCTTTTTTTTTTTAAACGAAAATAAAAGTAATAGCAATTTGCAAAAAAATTTTGAATTCAAAACATTGGGTACGTCTACATTCATATGTTATAAAAATAACTTGTTTAGGTATGATATTAATTAATTTGTTTATATAAGTACGTCAAAACAAATTCACTGGAATTAGAATCTCTGCGAAAATGAATCATGATTTAAGAATTTATTAAAATGGTAATAGTGGATGATCGTAAATTGTTTTTAAATATTTTAATTAAATATCTTAATTCCGTAAAAAATTTTTTTTTACGGAAAAGAATTAGTGCCTTCTTGTACCCAAATGGAATAAAAATAAATATTTTTCATAAACTTGACAATACAAATATTGTATTTAATCCTTCCTAAAAATAAAATAAAAATTTTAACTATTTGATTACATTCTCATTAATTTTTATTTCCTTTGAATTCCTTAATTGCAAAATTATCCCTGATATAGATAAAATGGGAATATTTTAGTTTAGTAAGTAATAACAGAGTTATGAATCGAGTATTTCAGAATTAAATGTAGAAATCACCATTCTTAACAGTTTTCTTCAAAAAACATGTTTTACGATAAGATTGTTCTTAAAGTTCCTGATGCATGGTTTCTTTATATGTATATGTATATATTTGATGCAGAATTAATATTAGTTGGATACCAAATTATAGTTTGAAGTGGATATAGCAATATTTTCTTTTGCTTCGTCTAGTATACTTCTTTTTTGTAATTTTAAATTTATTTAATTTACAATTACAAAAAACATCAATTTTTAACGTGAAATACTTGTTTTCCATTTAAATCTATTTAATTCAGTTGAATTATTATTTGCTGTATATTTGTGTTTTACAAGATTAAAATTTTGTTAGTTATCGATGAAACAGGATTAACGAAATATGTGTTTAAAACTTAAGAAATTGAATTTATGATGTTGATTAGGAACAAGTTAATAAATACTCAATTAAAAATGATGAATAAAAGAAAATATTACCAAAAGGTGTATGGAAGTCGACAAACAGATTTTTTTTTCAAGGCGTAAAACTTTACAAGTATTAAACTCGTAAAACTATTTAACCTTTTTTAAATATTTAAAAATAAGTAAATAAACAAAAAATAATTAACATTTGAAATCTAATGTAAAAATCCAAAGTTGATATATACATTTTTTTAGTTTAATAAAATTTATTTAAAAAATTTCATTAAAATTTACTTTATAAAAACCTTTTTGAGTTCACAAACTTTTCTTAATTTAAATATTTGATCTTGACAAAATCTTAAATTAGATTACACACATGCTAGACGGAGGTATTCTTTTTGTTTTTCAAAAGTTTACATCTTGTAAAAGAAAAACTTTTAAAAGAATACTTTTTTATATTATGTATGTAATACGAATGTTTATAATATAAATTTTTAAATGCAATAGAGTTTACAATAAATTATATATGTATACTTAACCTGAATAAATTGTAAAGTTTCCAAAATTTCAATTACAATTTTATATATTTATATAGAGACTTGTATATTGTATAATTATTTTTTATATATTTGGATGGTATTAATTTATTCAATTAAAAAAATTAAAAATATTTTTAAAATACTATAAATTTTTTTTTAAATTCTCTAAAAGAGAGGCACCTCAATTTTTGATTTTAGCACTTATATTATCACTACTTATTACTAAAGCAACCTTTTTAATTAATACAATCAGTTTTAAAATAAAATTCACAATTAATTTCATATTGTATGCTTACATTATGTATGCATTTCATATTAAGATAAAACAAAAAAAAATTATTATTTAATTTAAAACGCTCTTAACACACGCTGGGCTACAAAATGGCATATCTTGTTTTACACAAAATCTACCACCAATAAGAGATTTACCACAATTTATTCCAGCGCACATAAAGCATGTTCCATGCCAATGTATTTCACCCCATTTGACACCTTGCTCGGTCGGTCCTATTTGATTTTGACAACGTTTACATCTCTCAGCATAATATTGATCATAGCAATTCAAGCATAATGGCATATTAGTTTTTTCATCAGGAATGTATTGTTTACCAGCTAATGGAATGTCACATTGATAACAACAGAAATGTTTTATATGAAAAGTTGCATTTTCGGCAGCTGTATATTCTTTTGTAAAAATTAATTCATCACAAGCATTGCATCGCGGTATTTTTAATATTAATGCTAAATCTCGACCACAATAAACATTGCCAGAATGAAAGAAATAAACTAAATCAGCAAGAAGTTCCTTACACGAATGACATTTGAAACATTCTGGATGCCAAGCAATCTCTTTACCAGCCCTTTCTGCTTTAACAGCTACTTCGCCAGACATAATAAATTTCTGACAGTCTTTGCATTTTAATACTGGAACAGCTTTTATATCCTCGACGTTTTCTTTTGGTGGTGGATCCACAACACCTAATTGCGAAAAATCTTCTCCAAGATCATGAATTGATTTATTACCTGAAAAATGAACTGTTGGATACATATTTAAATCTTCTATGCCCGGAATTGAAGTAAATTTCCCTAAAGAAGCGTCCGCAAATTGATTAAAATCTGAATTAGTTATTTGATTTGGAGTTGGGGGTTTCGATTCAAAACCAGAATCAGAACTTTTTGATCCTGATAAAAGCGGATTTTGAGGATAATTTTCAGCTGGAATGGTATTCGAATAAGGTACGCCATTTGAAATAGCCAAAAACTTATTATTTGGTTGGTTTTCAACGAAGTTTGCAATTTCTTTTTCAAATACATTATCATTTAGCAACTCCTGCCGATACATTTTAAGTGGGTGGAGAATTCTACAACCGGAAACATTAATTCCTTTGTTTTGTAAATTTCCAAAAATTTGATCATAATGTGGACCATTAATAAAACCGCTTAATAAACAATCTTTATTCAAGCCAAATTCATTGATTTTGTTTTGATTTTTAGGACTAAAATATTGAAGGTCGTCTGAATCCAAATTCGGAAACATCGTTTGATCAGAAATTGCAAATGGCTTACATTCAAATTTGTTGTGCGGTGGTTTTAAAATATTGGCTAATTTTTCAGAGTTGACAATATTTAAAAGAATTTTATCTCTTTCAAATTTAGCATCTGCAGGTAAACCTAAATCATGTATAATGTCAACACCTCCAAATTTTACTTTTCTCATCGGAGTATCCTGTTTAATTAAAGTTCCAAATTTTGTTTGTGCAGGATAACGTAATGGAACTGGTGAATTAAAAGCATCGGAGGCAGCTGGTTTTATGCCTTTTATGGGAGTTGAATACTGTTTATTAGATTTAATAGCTTGGTCAATATCATTTCTAAATGTTGGACTTGAATTATATTCACGTATAAAATCTTTTATAGGCTGAAGTATTGGATCTTTCGAAATATCTAAGTTGTTCTTATCTAAAATATCCAAAATTTTTTCATAAAATGGACCATTTATTGTAATACTCTCCGCACTTGCAATGTTCACTGGAATATTTTTGAGTTTATCTTTTGTTGAATTTGTAAGTTTTGCTTCAAGATGGGGTGGAAGAACAGACGGATTCATTACATCAGAGTGGACAATTAAATGAGTTCTGATTGGTAATGGCTGATTCAATAAAATTGCATTAGTTAATTGCTCAGAATTTAGTAAACTCATAGCAGTTTTATCTTTAACAATATCACCCGGGGTTTCATTAATTTTTCGCAAAATTTCTAACTTTTTATTGAAATTCTTCTCTGGCTGCCTATTCAAATGATTAACTTGTGCGTGTTTCACTTCACCTATTCGAACGACATTTCCCTGCCCCACACAATTTTCTCGAATTTTCTTCACATATTGTTCAAGTTGAGCTGTTTCTGAATCAGTTAAATTATCACAAAGCGTTGCATCCATATCATGAGCGGGCACTTGAAATTGTAACTGCTGCTTACGTTTAGCAGCTGCATCGCTGCCAGCAATAGGGATTTTATTCGAGCCCAATTTATTCATATAATCGGATATTATATCTGGATCAGAATTTGGTGGAATCCAATCCAATTTCACTGGTTGATCTGCTAATGCCTTTATTTTAATGTCTGAAATAAAATTTTGATTATTTTCTTTATTATTTATTTTAAAAATAGATCTTTACATGCTGGTTTAGATCGAATCTGACCAAGTATTTCAAATTGGGCCCAACCAGTAATATCATCATCTTGGCACATATGTTGATCTTTCCGACATTTACAATTTCTACAAACCTTTCTCCAAAAATGCAAGTCCAAACCAGGACATTTATCTCCTATTAACACAATATTATATTACAAGTTACTTGAGAAATTATAAGTAATATTAAGTCAAATACCGCATTCATTGCAAGGCGCACCGGCACCAGATTCATGCCCCAATTTTGATTTCAACTTTCTTTCACGACGTTCTTCTAACTTTACCAACCATTCTGGAGCAGCTGGTGTTTCTACTTCTGAATGACTCATGATGTCGAATAAATTATTCTTAAAATAAGTGCCCACTGAATAGATTGATATCTTGTATCCTTTTTTTTTTATATCAAAATTTGCAAATTAATGACTCATCATTTGTAGTTTATTTTTTCAGAATTGAAAAAATGATTTAGGGTTATTTCAAACAAAATTTTAATAATCAATTACTAGCAAAAACATTCAATGAAAATACAAATTAATTTTTTTAAATTAATAAAGAAAATTGTACCTAGAAACTTAAATTTGTGCAAAAATTAATAAACAAAATTTATGATAATTAAATGTTTTTCAAAAAGAGTTGAGTATCTAATGAAACGTAATCGATTGAGAAATATTAATTATCGATATTTTTTCAAAACATCAATTGAGGTATTTGAACCGAACTAATCTTTCTCTTGATGGTTCATTAATTCGCCGTTTTCAAACTGAGTTTTTTTTTATTGTATTACACATGACCCTTTTTTGACAAGAATAAATGTTCATTTTTGGCAAGAAGGTAATTTTGTTTTAATTTTAAACAAATTCAAATAAGGGAGCGAATAGATTCAAAAAAAAATTTGATAATAAAATTTTAGACTAAAATACAGATCTGACGCTAAATAGTGTACATTGCAGAATGCAGTCCAGTTCAAATTTAAAAAAAGTATATTATTATTGACATGCAAAAATAAAAATAACTAAATTGGGATACAAAATAAATCAAAATATTTCAGTTGTAGGAAAAATTCACAATTAAAACAATTTAAATTTAAGTTTGGTTACCTGGGATAATTTGTCAATTTGAAAAATAAATGAATGTTTAAAAAATTCAATTTATTTCCATACGTTTAACTTTTACTACCTTTTACATTTTTTAAGTTTGGAAGTTGCAAACCATACTTTGGTTTTTTCATAATAAAGGGAGTTGTTCTGAGTAGGGTTGAAAATTCTTCGTTATTCTTTTTTTTTTGGATATAATGTTAAACCATACAATATGGCAATACCTTTTTAATAAATTTCATTATTTTGTTTACAAAATTTTGACATTTAAATGAACAATCTTTGTTTATAAACAGAAATTAATCGAAAAAATTGTAGTTTTTACATACTACATTAAATTAAAATAATCTACTTTATTAAAAAGAAACAAAATATAAATAAACTAAAAAATGTCATCAGATGAGGAAGATTATATGTCTGCAGAATTTCTTGAGAAATGGTAAGTTTTGTTAACGAGCTTAAGTTTTGTTAATCGAAGAAAATATTTATTTTGATAAAAGTATTAAAGATGTTCGTCCAGGTTTGGTGCAAGATAGAAGACGACGCAGAGAGTATAATTTAGAAGCGAAAAAAGTTAAAATTTCAGAAGACCAGCAAAATAAAGCGAAAGCTTCATCTGCTACACATCGTCTTCAAGAAGGTTTAAATAATCCATTAACACCTGATAACAAAGGTTTTGCATTGCTGGCTAAAATGGGATATAAACAGGGAGAAGCCTTGGGGAAATCTCAAACTGGAATAGTTGAACCTGTAGGAATTGTAATAAAATCTGACCGTGCTGGTTTAGGTCGAGAGAATGCATTGAAAAATCTCGAACAAAAACGCCAAGAAATTCGTAAGAGAAAACTGGAAAACATGGACTCAGAAAATGAAAAAAAATTGGAAGATTATCGGAAAAGATTGAAAGTACGAAATGAAGAAAAATCTATTTTACGAGCCTTTTAGTAAGCGGTTTAACTCAAATTAGTTTCAAATTCCAATTATAAACCTATTAATTTTTTTTACAATTTTTTAGCTCATGTCAGAGAGTTTGTGAAAAGTTAGATCAAGAACAAAAATATGAATATCCAGTATTAAAGTGGTTTTGGCCTGATAATAAAGAGCAGAATGAAGAAGATCAAGAGAGTGATAATGAGGATGAAGACGACGAAGAAGAAGAATTCGAATATTTAGATAAATTGGAAGTAATAAACGATTATTTGCGAACAACATACAGATATTGTCACTGGTGCGGCGTTAGATACAACGATGAAATAGATTTGGAAAGTAATTGTCCCGGACCTGAAAAAGATGATCATTGATAAAAATTGTTGTCAATCTATTAAAAGAAAATTAATATTGAAAATAAAATTTTATTTAAAACAAAATTAATATTAAATATTATAAAATTTTTAATAAAGATAATATTTACAAAGTAGATTATGTATCTAATAAAACGAAAAGTAAAATTTTATTTAACTTAATGTCTGAGCAATGTTTTCATTTATTAACGAACTTGTTTTGTTTAAATTGAATATATAACTTGATATATTCCGATTGTGATTTAGACAACCTTTTTAATGTTTTGTATTTCTTGGAATAATTATCATTATTATGTTCTATATTAAGGTTTTGAGATTCATTTAACTTAAAATTAATTATGCCTATTTCATTTTTTGTTATAAATTTTAATTTTATTTTATTTCTTTTATATTTATATTCATTTCTTATAAAATTTATGAATTTATGAAAATTTGATTTATAATGGGTTGAAGCGCCTCTTTCCACAGAGAAGTAAAAACATAAAACTATAATAAACATGTTAATAAGGTAAATCAATACAACAATAGTTAAAACAATGTATAAGAGTACTCCAATTAAGTGTCCTCCATGAGATAAATCTTTTAAATTTGCAAGTTCGGCGAATCCTGCACAAATAGCGATCAATGATGACAAAGAAAAATCTATAGATGAAAAATTTTTTGTGTATTGACCATTAATCATAGTACAACATAGACAAAAACTAATTAAAAATATTAATATGATAATTGAAGCTGATAATAAACTAGAAAAAGCATTGAATAATGTTTTCGTAAATATTCTAAACAAAATTGCAAATTGCAAAACTTTCCAGATACGTATTGTAGCCAAACAAACGAGAAATGCAGAGAATCCTGTTAAATAGATTTGAAAATAAGCTGCTTTAAAAAATCCTATAAATTTATTACTTTTCGAGTCATTAATTTTGTCAATTAATTCAATTACATATTGATTTTGAATAAAGAACAATATAAAATTTACAATTGTTAACAGTACTATAGAAATATCAATTATATTCCATAATTGTTTAAAAAATTTCTTAAATTTTGAATATTTGATTCTATTATATAATCGATATATAAATAATGATGTCATTAAAATATATAAAAATGATATAATAACTGTTATTGTATCCAAGTTTTCTAAAATTAATAATAATTTCAAAGAATTAATTTCTTGGCTTATAATATAATTACCATAAGGAGTTTTTTCCGCAATTATTGTTACAATTATAAATATATTTGAATTAACATCATATAAATTAAATTCAATAAAAATAACTGCAGTTCGATGATCAATCCAATTATTGTTTTTTAAAAATTTTAATATATGGTAACTATTCTTTAAATTTCTTCCAAGTTCTGCTATATAACCGCAGCTGCTATAACGTACCAAATCACCATAAATAGGAAATTCCATTCCGCTACAATCAAATTTCCATGGATTCAATAATTTTTCAAATTCCTCTTGATATTTAAAATTTTCATATTTTAATTTTTTCCATTTAGGTCCATAATATTTTGTATCTTTATTCACATTTGTATAATAACCTACACAATTTCTTATATCGAAAAAATTTTTATTACACGAATTCGGTACAATTCTATGTTGATTTAATCTAACTACACCAAGTATTTTAGCTGTACCTTCAGTAATCCATCCGGTATCTTTAATTCGCTCACCATTATGATAACGACCATCATTGAAATGTTTAATGAAAGTCTCATTTATCCAATAATAAAAATCATCTTGCCATAATATTTGATTTAATTTAATATTTACTTTATTCCATTTAGGTTTCGTTATAAAACTTTCTACTACTTTGGTACTATAATATGTACGTTGGTCCCTCCTCCACAAAATAATTAAAAGTAATGATGTTATATAAAATGTAAACATTATTAAATCATTTAATATATCCTTGTAATATATATTCAATTCTTCATCATAGTTATTGTTGTTTTTAAAATAATGGGCTTCATAATATTCAGTTAAATATTTAATTCGATTTTTCCAATAAATTAATTCATCCTCTTTTGATTCCATTAAATTTTGTGATATTTTCCTAATAGGAATTTCTTTTTTTCTGAATACTTTAATTAGAGCACATATCATTGAGGAGATTATATCAATTATAAAGATTCTGTGCAAGATTACTAATAAAAATGTAATTAAATAGATTTGACTCTTGTATATTCCATAGTGTAGGGTATAAATATTTATTATAATAACAGTTAGTATCGCTATTAGAGGAAATATTATCCAAACTGAATATTTTTTTAAATTTTTCATTTTAAATATTTTAATGTTTCTATTTTGATTTTACATATGAATTGTCAAATAAAAATTAAGTCTATAAATTTACATTTTCATTCTTGACAACAATTATTGACAATAATATACAGAAACTTTTTAATTCTATAAGTAGGTAAGTAGGTATGATTATATTCTAATAATTATTTTAGCATGACTCTGACATAATGCAATATATTATAATAACATTACCATTAATAGCGTTCCGTTAATTATTATGTGCGTAAATTATTTTGTTAAATAATATGCGTAACATAAATATGTAATTATATTAAATCGTTTGTAGTAAATATTAATAGTAGACTAATTCTAATAAATATTAAATTCGATCGGTACAATATTTTTTTCTAAATTAACAATTTGTCTAGAAATTTTTCATTGTTCAATTGAAAGCGGATGACCTTAATCAGAATAACTCAAAAAATAATTATTATTGATATGGTAAATATGACAATTAAGTACTACATGGACTGCCAAAAAATAATTTTTGAAAATACTGTAATGTTTTAACAGTATTTTTTTAAACTACAACTGCAAAATAAAATTTTGTAAATTTTTATCACAAAAGATGTACAAGAATTAGAAGAGTAAGTTTTGTATTTTCGTTTTAAAATGTTTATTTATTTAATATTTTATTTTAAGAGCTATAGAACATGAAAAATTGAATTATTTTTTTGATTGAATACACGACTGTGACATTCCTTTAAACAACTGCAAAACCTTTTTTTACTACAAGTAGCAACATTGAAGTTTTGGCAGTCGTTATTTTCTGCAGCTAAAGTTAGAAGTGCAAATGCAAACTGCATTGTCAAAAATGCCCTATGTAACAATTCTAAGTCATTAAACATTGTAGTAAATTTTATTTGTAAAAAATTATTTTTAAAAAATTAACAATTTGTCCAGCAACTTTTCTTAGTTCAAAAGTTTATCTTAACTTTAAAATTTTAAATTTTTAAGACCTTTTCTGGAGTTTTCAAACTTTTTGTTTTGAAGTGATTTTCTGAATTACTTTGAAGCAGGTGTCTTTAATTGGAAAACTTCAAAAAATTTATTTATCTATCTTACTCTAAGTTTTTTTTAAAGTAATGATCTGACGCTTCCATATTTTTATAGCCACGATGGTGCGTATAAATATTGAGATCAACCAGGTACACTAAATAAATATTTGAATGTGGACACATCAATTTATTTGATTTTCGGATTCTATCTTGTTAATATTATTTTATATCAAGCCATTAAGGTAATCAGAAGTTTTAAAGCGAAATTTTTAAAATACATCACCTGATAATTACAGAAGCTTTTCATAAACATAATAAATCATGTTAATAATTTAAAAAGGTACTCTATGAACTCATTATAAATTATTATTATTAAAGGGATAATCTATTTTAAATTGCATTAATCAAACAGTCGCCTCGCACTATCGAGTGACGAAGTCAAACGTTTTCTAAATTTATAAATGAACACCAAAATTTAAAAATATTTGAACCTGTTATAATTAATTATATTATTAGATTTATTTAATAACATTTAATTTAATAATAGTTATAATTACAAGACTGAGACTCAATTAATTAACCAAATTATGTATGCAATTAAAAAGTATGGTGCTCATATAATACGATAAATTTACAGTTTTAAATAACTAAAACGAGTTGGCTTCGTTGCAATCGTGGGGATCTTAGGCTCAGCCTGTCCTTTTCTGCATTTTCCAGTTAAATAGGCAAATCTCACTCTCTTTTGTGGATATTCTGCCGGGAGATGACTATACATTCTATGACTGTAATATTCTGGCCGTCAGTAGGCGCATACAGTTTAGACGGGGCTTTTTCAGAGACGGGGAGCTCGCATATGCAATTACAAATTATTTCACAATTACAATTATTAACAATCTATAATTTACGATAATATAGTATCGGAATTTTCATGAACATTAACATTATATTTGAAAATATACAGTGTACATGAAAAGTATATTGAGACCATCAGATCATTATTTACTTAACATAAACAACATATATGTATAAGCACATATAACGAAATTAATCAATTAGTTTTATATTTATTTATAACTTTCTATATACAGTCTCATATTTCTCACACCTTTTTTCATTAAATTTTTTTAAACAGACAGTAAATAAAAAACAAATTATAACATTAATTAAACAACTTATTAAAATAAAAAAATATTGTTTTAAATTTAATTTTAAATGTTTAAATTCTTCATCACGTTCATCTTCATAATTATAAATTGTTGTTCGACCCAAAAAAATAGCATTTATTATAGTTGAACTTAATAAACCAATTGTAAATATTAAGAATCTTTCCATATTATTTAAGTTTCCTTTAAAAGTTCCGAATAGAAATGACCAAAATCCATTTTCAGCCAATTTATAACGAAAATTTTCTTTAAATATAAATTTAAAATTATTAATTTCTTGTTGTGTTGCAACTAAAATTCTATATTTAATTGAATTATGATAATAATATGATAACCATTTATTAATTATGAAAATATATTCTTTTTTATATGTTAAATCTTTAATTATTATTAAACGACAAAACCATGATGGAAAATTTCCTTTATTATCATGACTAATAAAAATTTCTTGAATATCACCCAAATATTTCAATTTGATTTTAAATATATCAATTGAATTTTTTTGAAAACACTTCTTTTCCAAATCATTATATAAAATAATTTTATTACTTTCATTATATTCTCCATACAATTTTATAATAATATTAGCTGAAGTTCCAGCTCGTGGACGGCCACCAGTAAAAATTGTTAATATATAAGGATAGCATTGTTGATCTGTACCGCAACTATTGGTACGGTTTGCTAAAGTAATTTCGTTCTTGCCACTTATATTATCCGATTTTATAATATAAATAAGAAAACCGATTAAAAATATACTTAAGATTATAAAAAATATTAAAATATTATAATTAATACTGAGTATTTCCAATATTTCTCTTGAAATTTTAATTTCATTTGGAATATATGCTATTTGTGCTGCTACTATACTCATATGATTACATGAACACAATATATCACCATTCAAACTAATATTTATCGGTTTACAATGTGAAGAAATCCAATTTTGTTCATTTGTATCCCAAGTTACACACATAAATGTTGTTACACGAAATTTAAAATTAATTTTTTTAAGTTTAGTTCCTTGATTTGGTAATACTGCAATATACGATTTATTAGATAAACCTATAAATTATAAAATTTTATTTATACAGATTCGTTTAAATAGAAAATATTACAAGAAAAACTATTTTCAAATAATATTATTTACCAATTTTATTTGACGCATAAAAGTAATTCTTGCTTCCATTTCCTACATTTTCATAATTTCTCATGAACATATATTGTCTTGGTTTCATACCAATTCTTATCAAAATCCTTAAATCAGCCTCAATTTCCAAAAATTCATATAATATTAATGCATTCTCAGGATAAAACATTTCATAAATTGGCATATCATTTATTGAATTAACATAACCAGCTATTATATCGGAATTACTTGTGGTAAAATTTTGAATATTAAATAAAATTTTATAATTTGGTGTGGGTTGTTTAAGATTGTTTTTCGATATTCTTATATAATTATTATGATTCTTTGGAACAAAAATATTAAAAATTAAAATTTGACTTTGAAATGTTTTCGTTTTTGTTGGATACCACCAAAATAAATTTTTCTTTAAAAATCCAATTTGTATTATTAAGTGATCTACATTTTTTCCATGAAATATATTTGTTGCATTGAAAATTAATTTTATTTTATTAAAATTGTTTACGATATTAGAATTGTTTAATTTATCTAAACAAAAATTCATAATTTTTATATTATTAGTTTCAAAAATTATTGGTTTTTCAGATGGATTTGTAAAATGTTCTGCAACTCTTCCTAAATTTTCAATAATGCTTTCTATCGATTTGGTTATTAATTGTGCGTCATAAATTTCATCTGTTAAAAGAAATTTTTGTAATGTTTTATTATTTTTATTTATAGGTAATCAAAAATTTATAAAAGCACTGCAATTTTTCTTGCTAAATACTTGGTTATATTTAAATCTTAAGCGCACTGTAAATATTTGTTTAGATTACTATAAAATCATAAGCATTAAATATTTAAATTTAAAGAAAAACACAAAAACATTGCAAAATTGTACCATCATATTATCATTAGCATATCATGTCATGTTAATGTTGGTTACGACCATATACATTTTAGGTCGAATTAATTATGTAGTTTAAGACAAATTAAGGCATACGTAATTTAAGTTACTGGAATGCAATCAAATATACGTATAATATTTTTTCCAAAACCTGAAAAAATAAGAGATTTCGCAAACCCCTCAAAGAAATCAATGTATAGGAGAGTCCAATTGTAAGACCTTTGTAGTCCTTGACATGTTGAAAATGTTAAGAATTATTAATAATTTGGTAGCACATTTCTAGCTTCAGCCCCTAAACTATTTAATGATAAACTAAACTGAGCGAAATTGAATTATTAGAAAAATTAAAAATATAATTTAAAAAATTCAACAAAAATATTGTAAAATATTTTAAACAAACCAATAATATCGTAATTTAATTCTCCATAATCTGGATAATTTTCTGTATAAGGTTCATTAGGCTGCTGTATATCCATTAATTGTGATTTTATTTGGTAGGAACGAAATGAAATTTCGTCTATTGTTTTAAATACGCACCCTAGGGATTTATAAAGTTTCATTTGTATTGTATCATCAATAATGAATTCATTATTTGATTGCATTATTTTTAAATAATTCATTTCATCGTTCATTTTCTCAATTAACATCATACCCAAATGAGTGTTATTATTCGATATTATAAATGAAATTTCATTTAGAATTCCAATAATTTGCTGTAGATTCTCAAAAGAATGTGCATTAAAACTATTTAACGTTTCTAACATCAATTCAGTTAGCATTAAATTTTCATCTTCATTTTTATATAATTTTAAATTTTTAATAATTGTTTGAGATAAACTTATTACAGAGCCCATATTACCACTTTTTAAAAACCAATTAATACTTTTATTATTTCTTCCATTTATTAATTCCATAATCTCTTGTATATCACTTTTAAATTCATAATTTTTTATATCTATTTGAATTTTATAATTTGTACAAGCATCGAAAATATCACATATGTAAATATTCAATTCATTGCTATTTAAATTATTATTTGCAAGGCTTGTTTGTATTACTGAGTCGCTTGAAGATTTTAAAAATATTTCGTTATAAAAAAAATTGTAAATCATTGGATGATTTTCAGGGTCTATGAATCCTGTGCAATTAATATTAAATAAAGTTTCAAATTCTATTCCGCTAAGTGGTATTGGTGAACAGATTCCACTTTTAGGCGAATTATTTTCTCTTAATTCTATTAAACTGTAACCAGTATTTGTTATATCTCTAACTGAAATTTTAATTCTTAGTTTATTTGCAGTCGGTAGAGATTTTCCATCTAAAATTAAATATGGCTGCTTTGATACAATTAAATTATTTATAGACCATTCGTAAGTGTTTCCAATATTTTGATAACAATTTTCGCAAGACACTTTTAAATGAAGAATTTTTTCTCGAACAAAATAATGGGAACGACAATTTCTTAAACAAATAATGGTGATTTCTAATTGCTTAGAATTTTTGGGAATAATCTTTTGAGTAAATTTTGAACGTTCAAAAGGGTACAATGTGGATGATACTGTTAGTCTATAAATATATGAAATATTTTCTTTAAATTCATTTGGCGATATTATTAGAGTTCTTTCTATTTAAAAAAAATATTTATTAATTTAATGTGCCAATTAATTATCTATGTATGCAGTTTAATTTACCGTTTCCCATATTTTTGAGACAATATTGATTGCTTCGATCTTGTTTTGATGAACATCTCCAACTAAATCGTAGTTTTTGATCACTCTTTGGATTTCTAGATATATCTTGACTTTTTGAACCATCGATTACTGTAATTTCATTTAGATTAATTGAACGTTCGGATCCTCCTAAGATTATTGCTTCTGGTGGTGTCATAACTACTTTGAAATAACACTACAATTATTAAAATTTCACTTAAAATATTAGGTCGTTTATAGTTGCGGTAAATTAATTTTGCTTTTTTAATAAAAAAAATTGATTAGAAACTAAGAAGACTTACCCTATGTACTATTTTTCCTGTTAAATTTTTGTTAGCAGTTTGTTCTGTGATCTCAGTTTCAATTACATAAGAATTTAAATAATCTGTTGAGAGATTTTCAAAAATTAAGAAATAGGCTGGTATTTTCAACCATAAATTATTAGTTTGAAATTCAAATAACGTTACTGAAATGATTTACATTTTCATCTTTAAAAACATTGGCAATGAAAAAAAAATTTACCTTTTCTTAAATAATCTTTTAAAGTCCATTGAACTTTTAAAGTTGAATTACTTCCACAACTTCTTTCAATTACAGGTTCTATGTAATTAATTTTATTAACGATTAAATTTCGTTTACCAACATCAGTGTGACCACAATTTTGTTGAATTATTTTAGGAATACAATTTTCTTTTATTTTATAAACAAAAAATCCAAATCCATCTCCATATAAAATTTGACCATTTTCAGTGTTCGCAAGAACAACATGAATTTCTTGATGTCCATTTAACCAAAATACATCATTGATAATAAAATAGAATCCTTCATTAAATGGTAATAAATGAGAATTTTTAATATTTAGATCTGTTGCCAATTTTTTCAAATTATTTCCTCTTTTAAGAATCCCCAAATTTGTTTTATTAAATTTGAAACCTTCTAAACATAAATCATTTGAATAGATTTCGATATTAAAATTTAATGGGCCAAAATCTTCTAATAGAAATAATATATTTTCGTTAACGCCTTGTCTCGTTACATGATTATAATGTATAAATATTGTTTTAAAATTTAATATTTTGGTACCACAATCTTGTCCGTAATAACCATCTGAACATTTACATGTGAATTTACCTAAAGATTTTTGACATTCACCATTATTTTTGCATGGATTTGTTTTACAATAATCAATTTGATTGTTACAAGTTGGACCTTCAAAAATTCCTTTCACACAATTACAAATTTTTTGATGTTTTTCATTTTCAATACATTCTCCTTCATAATTGCAATATTTTGGATCGCATTCCTCACTTAAAGATTTTATAGGAATATAGAGAAAAATAAGTATATGGAAAATGAATGATATTCGAATCATAGAACGCGATTTAATGCAACTGACAAAAATTCGGCAAGTAGAATTAAAAATAGAAACTGAATAAATTAATTTTTTAATATATGAAATAAAAATCAAAGGTGACTGTAGGGAAAATTAATTAATATTAAATTAATAATTATTTTGTTTTAAAATAAATTTACATAGAATGTTATTTTATCAGTTTGCTTTATTTAATTATATTAGTACTAATAATATAAATGACTAAGCATTTATATAAGCATATGTACATAATATATGTATGATGTCTTCAAGGGCTAACTAATGGTTAACTAAGCTAATAATGCAAAATATTATAAAATTCTAAATCTACAATTTTTAAATTTTGATTATTAAGTAAAAATTTTATTAAAATAATTTTCCTATAAAATATTATGGATAATACATCTTGTATATTATATTTGCATGTATATACATAATATAATTATTAATATATAATGTACAAAATATGCTTATATTCTTAATATAAAATAACTTCACAGCTAACAAAAACTTTTAATACAAAGGAATAATAATATTGTTTAAAAAATTACATAAATTTTGTTATATTGTACAAAATAGTAACTAAATTCGTAAAATACATTATATGTATATACATAAGTATATATTATATAATTTCAATCAGAATAAGTACATTTATAAGGAAACGCATAATTTTGTATTAAAAAATAAAATTTTAACGTGTTTCAACATTTCTATAATTTCTTAACTTTAGTCAAGAACTGCTTCAGGATTAAAAGTTACTTATTGGCACTTTATAAAATCTTCAATTATTTATGGTAAAACAAAATCTTTAGCACATAAAGATTTGTTTCTGTAAAAATATCTGGCAACATCTTTTTTCTCTATTTAAATTTTTTCTATTCAGGCAAAGTTTATCTAAATTATCACACATTTGCTTTTCTGAATTTTAGACTTCATTCACACTGAACTGAATTGATTTGACATCGAACTAAAATTATAAAAAAAGAGTATTACTTTTTAAATTTATCTTCAAATTCAACAAAACTCTTATTTAATTAAAATTAATAACGAAATTTACATTTTTATAACCATTTCCAAAATTATTTTGAAACATTACAAATTGTTGTAAAACACTATGAAATAATATTGGTCCTGATACCAAATCATTTTCATAAAGTTTCTCATCAACCCAAAATTTAATTCTTTTTTTTAATATTGGATCATCATATTCCTCTTCCATTAATTCTGGTGTTATTTGATATTTAATTGTATGCCAATCACCATCATATATCTAGATAATTAAATTAAAATCAATAATTAATTTTGATTTCAAATAATCGAAAAAAAATAATTTTAAATATTTTACATTTATTCCTTCAAGTTTCGCTCTACATTGATTTGATTTTTTAAAATATTGAAAATTTTCATTCCAACATAAAAGACGACCAGAATCAATTGCAAAAACTTGTGAATTATTTTCAAAATTATCTTTTAATATTAATAGTATCATTTGACCATCAATTGGACCACGGTGACGAAATTTACATTCAAATATTATATTTGTTATTTGATTTGGTTTTGTTAAAATTTCTGGTATTTTTATTTCACCAAAAATTGCTTCATTTATTTGATAAAATATTTCATTATCATTTTCAATATTTTGTAAATTTTTATTTAATTTCTTCTTAAAATCAATATGTGATGATACATCGGAATTTAAATCAGCTAGTATTTCACAATTAACTTCTTTTAAAAGATTTGTAATTGCAATTTGTTTAATATCTAACTGAAAAATAAATTGAAATTTTATTAAAATTATAACAATTATTTATAAAAATAGAGAAATATACTCCTAATAGCTGTTTATCACATCTTCCAATTGTATACTCTTGTTCATCATTTATTGAAAAAAATTGTAAATTATTACGATGATCTCTTGGTGGATTTGTTTTATCCAAAATTAAATCTTCATCAAGCCATACTTTATAATTATTTGATGTTATACAAAATGTTAATTTATGCCATTTTCCATCAGAAATGAACTAAAAAAGAGTTATAACAATAATATTAGCTACATCGGTATAATTAAAAGTAAATGAGTAATAATAACTAATTATAGTTATAATAAAAAATTCGAAATAATTGAAGCTTTATTATATTATTAATTGTTGTAGATTCGAACAGTCAATATATTCTAACATTTAATAATAATTATTTTACAGGAAGAAATTATGACTCACAAGTATATACGTATACATAAAATGAAATACACACAATATATGAACACATAAATATTGTTCAACTAACTTTTATAAAACAAAATCGATATTTACGCAAATATCGCACCGATATTTACTTTGCCAGTTACATACTTTTATACTTAATTCTGATGCTATATAAAAATATTATTAAAATTGGATTACATACAAGTATGTTTATTGATTTTACAAGGTATATGAGTGTATGTACAGAGTAAATGAAAATACAAATTAATTTTCTAAAACTTAATTACTTAAATAAATTTTGTATAACTTTTTAATATCGACAAATTCTCAAATAAAAATTTTGATAATAACTGCTATAAAGATAAACCTGTTCATGTTACTTTGAAATTTCTATCTAGGAACACCAATTATATTAATTCTTAATATTTTCTCGTTAAATTATTCTGAAATAAAAACAATATACATACATGTATAGTATATTCTGAATGTGATCTAAGTCTATTTTAAATATAAATAAAATATTGCTCTTTTTTGGATTAAAGTAACTAAAAATTCGATTAACTATGGTTATTAGCTTTATAGAATATTTACTTTCGTATTCCAAAGCATAAGTTGCAATTCCAGTAATTAATACTATCATTGCTTCTTGACTTTAGAGTTTTGAAATTGCAAATGGACTTAGATCACTTTCAATATAAACAATTCACATGATGTACATACAAGCAAATTAAAACTAATTTGATAAACTTACCGATTTACATAAACGATCACTTTCATAAATTTCATTTTCATCTTCAGGAATTTTTTCAATATGTTTATGTATAATTTTAAGAAAATAATAATCATCATCAAATATTAAAATTTCAATAATAAAATTTCCATCAGAATTTTTAATATCAAATAATGTTAGATTTGTATGATTTCTATAAATATTTAATCTAAATAAAAATTCAAGTGTTATACCACCAGAATGTTGTAAAAAATCATTATAATCAATTGAAGCATTCTTTTGAAATTCATTTGTTAAACGTAAATATTTTCCATCAAAATCATTTATGCATTCCTCAGCATTTGAATTATTCAAATTAAGTTCATTTATCAAATTCAATGTTTTCGCTGAAATATTTAAATATTATTATTAAATCAATAATATTAATTAATATATACTTACACATTGTAAAAAATTTTAATATTTTACAATTTATTTTCTTTATTAAAAAAATTATATTTTATTTAATTAAACGGAACTAATTGCTGCTACAAAATTAATACAGTCTTATACTCTTTAGAGTTAATGACGAACTAAATTTCTCATATTAGTTAACAATGATATCATCGATTTATGATCAAATTATCTACCTCTATTAATAAATTGTAAAAACAAAAAATAACTGGGCGCATAAACAGCTGAAAAAAAGCTTTACTTGTGTAATCAAATATTTTTATACCTTAATACCTAAATTATACTTTACTATATATATAAATATATACAAATTCATACATATATATATATATATATGAGAAGATTTATAATCGGAATGTGGACTTCATATTCAGCTTAATATTCAGTGATTTAAATTTAAAAGAAATACAAATAACAGGTGAATTAATATACATAATCAACTGTTAATAAAACATTTAAATGTGTTTGTGTGTTGTTTACAGATTATTGTGTTATTAAATAACACGTTCTCTCTTCATGTGTTATTTATCTTGAAAAATGCAACTGGGAATTTGAATATCGTTTAAATTTACATACTTAGTTACAAAATACAAATTATGAAAATTTTGTTAATTAATAACTGATAAGAATTATGAATAGTGATAATTTATTAACTGTTTTTGTGTGTATGTTTTAAAATTTTAATTAAAAAATTTATAAAAATAATTTGAAAATTTTTTGACGTTTTTTTTTTGTTATTTTTGTTTTATATATGTAGCTCTTATCTCTTACAATACCAGAATTTCTACTGCAACATTAAATTGAGAATTATTTACAAAATTTTATGGTTTTTAAGTAAATATTTGTTATTAAAAGTATGTAGACTTATAAACCCAAGCATTTTCCAAAAAAAAAATTAAATATGTATTTGAAGAGATAAATTCCCATATTTTGTATATTTAGCAAATACTCGTAAATTGAATTCCAGAGAGAATAATAAGTTTAAATGATTTTTCGTATATATGTACTTACATATTATAATATATGGTTCGCTTCGGAAAGTTATATATGTACATACTGTCACATTATGCATATAGTTGTTCTTCATATAAATAACCCATCTATACAGAACATTTTCTAACCGCATTTCCAACAAAATTGTAAAAAAAATGTGCTTGTCAATTTCATTATGTCCGTTCATGTGTTGCCGTAACTTTTTCACTTGTTGCGAAAGAAACTTGAATTTCTATACATAAAAGGATCTGGCTGTGAAACTTATTTTTTTAGAACAAAATTTTTGTGTGTCTCTCCTTCCCATCTCTAAAAGGATAGTTCCGCAAAATTATGAAAGTGGTACTTTTTTGTAAATTTCGAAAACGCAGATAAATGAGAATTTGTTTTTTTATTTTGCGAAATAGTATAAAAAAAGGCTTCACCATAATAAATTTGTAGTGGAAGTTAAGCGTTATTTCCAAAACGCTTTTTTTCAATTTCTTAATGTTGTTATTTCTATTATAGACAGTATGCTATATCAATCTAAAATTTAGTAATTCCCAGGTATTAATAGTTAATTTATTTTTATTTAATAATTAATATTAATTTTTGGCTACTTATTTCTCAAAAGTTATATGAGCTTTTTAAACAAAAAGGCTAAAATTCATGCCATAAAAAAATATTCACAATATAATATCTTGATTAACTTGATCAGTCGTCGAATCTAACCATTTTGTTATAATGCGTTTTTTAACTTTGTGCTATGCCTAAACGTATGCAATAATTTTGATATCATTTCGGAAATGAGCTTCATTAAAAAACGATAATTTGATATGAATTAATCAAGGTATTTTCGACATTTTCGAATATTAAATTTCAAAAATGCGAAAGCAAAGTTTTTTGTTTTCATTATAGCCTCTTACATCATAAAATACGAATCGATTTGTAAAGAGAAATGTAAAAAAAAAAGTGGAGTACATAACAAACACGCAGGACTTTTCTTCATAGTCTGATATCAGAAGTTTTTTTTTTCAATTATGATAATGATATTGATATTAATGTAGAATTTTTATATTTTGTTCGTTTTCTTTTCTATAACTTTCAGTTATTAATAGTTTTATCAGCTGTGAATTCTGTTCGAACTATGTTTATAAGTTCTTTATATTTATATGATATTAAAATAGTTGGTTTCCGATATTATTTTAAGTACTGTGATGGTTTTTCACATAATGTGTTTCATTTGTAATAGCCAAAAAGACTTCATTAAAATTGAAAATTAATTTCATTTTCCTGATATTTTGTACGATAATTAGTTCTTAAGAAATCAATTGAGAAGCTCTACAATTTTAGCACCTTATTAATTTTTCTGTAATTTTCATTGATGTCAACAAATACCTTGTTCTTTTGTTTGAATGTTATTTTATAAATTCATCATAAATTATTAAATTACTCTAGTTTCACAGATTATTTTCACTTTTTTTTGGCATTTTAATAATAAATTTTTATGGTACTAATATCTATGAGATAAAACCTTTTATACCTTTTATAAAAGATTTATGATTTTAAATAATTATTTGAAAATCTTTTGAATTTTTGTTCTTATGTCTTGCTATTATAGAGCGTTTTTTGTTGATGCATTCGAACAATTTACTATTAAAATTTGATTTGAAGAAGATTGAATAGTGTGTTTTTTTTTTCTCTATTTTCCGATAAAAAAATTTTTTTTTTCTTGAAAAGATTTTAATCTTGAAAAATTATTTTCGTCATTATTATAGAAAAGACAAATAAGCATAAAATGAAAAAAAGTAAAATTATTTGCGAATAACTTTAAATAAAAATGCATAAAATTTAAGCAACTCTTCTTGGTTTACATTAACAATAGGTGAAAAATGAGAAAATAGCGTAAAAAATGGTTTCGTATACTTTAAAAAATTTATAAGAAAATATCAATTCAATTATCACGATGTTCGATTTAAAAGAATGATGCTATTTTAAATGCATGTACTCGTATCAGTGTTTTAAAACTTTTACAACATTGTGTTACACAAGCAGTTCGGGGTCATTCTTACGTTCTATGAATTAATAAAGTGGAATTATTTACCACACAATTGTGGGATAACGTGCAATATTCCCATTTACCTGTTTAAAAGACTCACTATACTACTTTGAATCAAATTCTGAGTCGTTTTTTCGCATAACTTTAGATCACAAAAACCTTATCAAACACTCATAATCAAACATATTTATATCAAACACGTTATCAAACATTTAATAATTTATTAATAGAACTGAAATCTAGAAGAGTTGATAGTTTTTTGTAAACAAAATCAAATTGAGAATAAAATTATTCCAACTAAGTTAAATAAAAGGAAAATAACGCCACGAAAACGGCATCCATATTTCTGATTCATGACAGTTCCTTTGTTCAACACTCCTTTCATTTTTAATATTGTGAAAGTATTAAGTAGAACATCGCAGTCTACCTACTCATGAGCCAAATATGTAGAGGTCGAGTAGCATTCAGACCACTGGTCGCCTCTGTGATGATTACCCTAACATTTCTTCCATAATTGCATTGTGTACATCCATCCCTCTACCGTTGCTTCTTTTTGTGTTCGCGTTCTTTCTAGCTTTATTTCAAGTAATGGATATAATGATCACTATTATTAAGATCGCCGACTTGCGTTCTACTTCTCCTCTTTGTATAAAGGTAAGTGCTTTCTACAGTATTCGTTACATAGGGGTTACATACAACCCCTCGGGCATACAAAATTCATATTTTGAAAATAAATAAAGTGTAAATTTATATTTAATACCAATTTTCGAAATTTTTATAAAATTTTTCCTCTTCTGAATGTTTTGCAAAAAATTACTATTAATAAATAAATTAATTGTTTGTGAAACGAGTTGAATAATGGTTGGGAAACTCTGAAATTTAATGCTTTAATATCTTTACAGATTAATGCATATATTGCCAAATTAAAGAACGATACTATAAAGTTTTTTAAAAGCAGAAATCTATGCTCTATTAAAACATTGAGTATTTTTTTTTTGTACCTATATATACTTGCGAACAAATATGTAGGTTAGTGTAGCAAAAGCAGGTCTTTGTTCCATATTGTTCTTATTATTATTTTACTCTATTCGTAAATTAATTGCATATTATCTGATGTTTTTTTTTACTTTAAGCTTGGCTTTTGTAAGCTATAATAAAATTTAGGATAAATATTTTATATATAGTTTTGTAATAAACATTTTGATTGGCAACTATTAATGAGTTTAAATTGATGAGTTTCGTGGATTTAAGGATGACATAAAAGTACAAATTGTTTCATTGTAAGTTTTAGCGTGTTATAGTAAGATATTTAAAAAAAGAACTGTGTAATAAACCTGTTAAAATGAAAGTGAAAGGAATTTAAATTGAAAATTAAGTTATTATGTATGCAAATTTTGCAAAATATAAGATCAGTGATTTGATTTATGATACTAATCGATCATATTATAATCAATTCCTGATCAATAAATCTATTATATTTGCTTTATGAGAATATAACAAAAGATTAAAATTGTAACACAGATTATTTATTATATTGTATAGGCGGTTGAAAGTTGGTTTGAGTTTGATGGCATTCATATATCTTGTTTACCTATATTTTGTTTTATGTATTTCTAATTTAAGTTTTTATATAAAGTGATAATTTGTATATTATGTAAAGTGAAAATGTGATAATCTTTATTTTGGAATACAATAAATTTTATATTCTCAACTGTCTTGTATATCTAAAAGTTTTTAAAGGAAAATATTGTAGTAAAATATTATGAGTATGCATACTTACTAGATAGTATATAGATATATAATTTAGTGGGGGTTACTTTGTTCACTAGATCACTGCGTTCTAACGAAGATAACAAAGAAATGTCCCATAGTATTGGGGGATAGACCAACGAAGTCCGATTTCGGCCCACGTTTAACATTACGATGTTCTGCTATACCATATCGACTATACTTTTTCAATCCAGTTCCACTAACGTCTGACACGTATTCACTAAGTTTGAGATTTAAACAATTTTATATTTGTATTCCGCAATATATACGAATATGTAGAGTTGTTTCGTTATTGAATAATAAAATTGTTTAATTTACATTCACGTACAGGGCTTATGTTAACCTCCGAATAAAATTTATAGAATCTCGTTCAAAGTCAAATCAAAGATAGAATCAAAGATGTTGCCGAACAATTTATGAAGTGTGATATTTATTTTTGGAACATTTTGACAAATTTTATTAGCGGTTTTTAGCTTCATATTTCATTTATTTACTCGTTAAAAAAATATAACCAGCAGTTTTTTCAGAAAACTTCTTTTAGATGTGCTTAGAATACTAATTATTGTCTTACAAGTTATCTACAACTTTTACTGATGCCTTCTGTAAAAGTTGTATAGATAACTTGTAAAGCTAGATGAAATTTTTCTTAAAATATCTACATGATGTATTAATTATCAAGTTGCATTTATTTAAGTGGTTGTATGTATTGAAAATTGCTCTTATTTTTTATGTTTGCTATTACCGAAAACAAACTTGGTGAAATATCTTCCAAAGAGAAAATCCTAACATATACAGGTTCATTTAATTTTATTCATTATAGATGTATTAACTTTACAGATGTATAGTTTTCAGTATCGAATTTAATATGTTTAAGATGAGGTTTACATATTCGATAAAATCTGTAAAAAAGTCTGATGATTGAATTCATCACTTTACTTCGAAGTTCGTGAATAAATTATAGCTAAAGTAAAAAGCGGCTAATTTGCGCCATTTTACTTTTAAAAAATCTATCAGTAAATTTGATGAGAATAGAGTATTTTCTGTGATTTGCCGTAAGACAATATTTCTAATTTTTTAAATATATCTGTACTTTTTGAAAACTGTAGTTGTAACAGGAAACTAAGTATTAAAAATACATTCGTCAAATCTATGGCTTGTAAAATAGCAGATTTCCCTTTAAGAACTCAATTTCAGAGTTTGAAACTATGTATTGTTTAGGTCTAATTAATGAATTTTTTTTATTAATATATAATTTCGCATAAATTCAGGAGAAACCTTTGGGTAACAATTCTCGAAAAATTTACTTATACACTAATTTTGAGTTTCAGATTTATTAGCAATTAATTTATATAAGACACGATGCTATTTTTTTGTTTTTCTAGAAACTGGATAGTGCTATTAGTGTATAGAAGAAATCGTAAACTAAAAATTTGGCAAACTTGGAGTAGCAATAAAACCTCTAAGTTTCGAGGGTGTTAAAAGGAAATATTGTTCCAGTAAAAAAAAAATATTTTAGTAAAAAAATAGAAAATGAGCGAAAATCCGATTTGGGAAAGTGATTAATTTGATCTACAAATTAACAACATTACATTCACCTGCTGATCTTAAACTGACAAACTGTTTTTGGTTGGAACACAGTATTTGTCAAAAAACATGCATTTTAATTAATTTGGAGTTTTTTAAATTAGTGTGGAGGAGGGAATACGAAAAAAATTTATGCTATAGAAAAACATTATCTTCATTAAGATCTGTAGGGATCCTTATACAAATTCACTTTTCTATTTTGAACCGAAGTGTACCGAAGTGTCACCGAAGTTGGTATCGAAACAGATGGAGAGGCATTATGAAACGTTAAAACAGATAAATTAGTTTTACGAGTACTCTTCCAAGCGGACATTTAGAGTAATACTAATATAGGTGCATTTTTGCTTTGAAAATGTGTCAAAAACGTCATATTTATTGGACTATATTGTTAAATTTTGATTCAAATGGCTTTTACGAACAAAGTAAATTTACAAAATTTATTCTTCTCTATTCGTAAATTTTAAAAATAAGAAATTCTATATCCGTTAAATAATATGATACCTTCTTTTAATATTATGATTATATTTTGCTTTATATACCATATGTGTCTTTATATATACATATGTATGTATATAATATAGCAATTTAAATTTATTTCCAAATAAAAATTACAACAATCGTACTATAATACTCGTAACTGTCAGTAAATTACTTAGTTAATATGTTAATATAGAGAACCTTCTTCAACTTTTATTATTGTGAAAAATTAATGTGTTTAAAATAACAATGGTTTTTGGAAAAATCAACATAAATTTTCATTAACATTTTCATTTACATTCATACATACAGAGAATTTTAAATTTTTATTATTTTTATTATAGTTGTAGGTATGATCGGTAAAATAAAGTGAGCAAAGCGAAAATTTATCAGGTTGAGGTGCGAATTTTCGTTTGATTTTATAATTTTTTTTGTTTTGTAGGTTTTCGTTTTTTTTTTTTTAGAAACGACCTTGACCAACCAAGAAGTTGGTAATTTTCTTTTTACGTTGTTTTCTCATTGATTTTTTGTTTTTATGGCGATTTTTTTTCTTATATTTTTATTTGCTAAATTTTATTTCGTCTTTGTACAGTGTACACAAGTAGCAAAACCTTAAAATGTTCTTTGTTAGTAAATTACGAAAAAAATCTCTTATAATACTTGAAAAATCTCTTATACCTATATAGGATATGAAACTTAAGATTAATGATATTATTTGAACCTATTTTTAAAGCTTATTTTTTTTAAGTCGACATGTAAAGGTAAGTATGTAAAAATACAAAAATCTGATTGTTGTTATTCACTTGGAAATTAATTGATATGAAAATTGGAAAATTGCTTGTTTTTGTAAGCAATTTAGATTTAAGATAACTTTATATATGATAGTGATGATATGTTAAAAAATAAATTTGGTAATCAAGAAGTATAATATGTACTTGGAAATGTAAAAAGTAGAACATACAAAGATTGGGAACAGAAGAAGTAGAAGCCTTTTTTTTAATTTATCTTAACAACTTATTTTATTTGTACACAAAGATTTAATTTAATGACCTTTAAGTATTTAAGAAAAAAAAGGTTATAGTTAAAAGGTGTGCATTTATATGACTTTGTTACAATAGTTACAATAGTAACCGTACTAATGATCAGAACTTTTATTCTTTATTGTAATTTTATTATTTGTTAATCGTTTAAACAGTGCGTATTTGTTGTTTTTTAAATTACAATGCTGTATGGCATAAAATATATTTAAATATTAATGATAATATTAAGTTTGATCCTATTAATCCGCTAAAACCACTGATTATAAGAAATTTCCTTGTATTTAGGAAATCAAATATTATTTTTTTGAAATTTCTAAATTAGAATTGGGAGAAGTTCCTGATGGCCCTGCAAAAACTTAAAAAATAATTATAGTTTTCTAACAAATGGGAAATAGGTATGTATGTTCTTAATTAGCAAACTCCTCCTAATTTAACATCAAATAAGAATTATCAAACTAAAGTCATTGAAACACGCCATGTTCTGCTCACTTATCAATAATTAATTAAAAATATTTATTTAAAATATAGTTTTCAAATATTTCCTTCAAAATTTTTGAGTATTTTAATAAGTAATAAAATTAGAGTTGAATAGTCAATTTTGTAACCACAAATGAAATTTCAATATTTTATACAATTCTAGAGAAATTTTATTTCATTTTTGAATGTACATTTTATATCTTACATTATTTTAAAATTTACAAATAATATATTAATTTATATTCATTAATGAAATTTGCAAGTTAATTTATATAATATATAAAAAGTAATTAAATAATTCTTAAAAATATTAATCGAATTTTTACATGGCCATAAAAATATTTATTTAATTCTATAAATATTTTAAATAAAATATAAAATTACAAAGAAAATTATTACAAAAAAAAAAAAACTTAAAATAATATTTTAATTAGAAGCTGTGATTGTAAAAGCGACAGAAAATATTTTTAAAAGTATAAACTGACTTGCAGTCAGCTCACTTATTTCATAAATAAACAAATTAAATTGTTATTCTTCTACTGTACAGTTGGAATGTTAACGTTAATCTTAAAAACTATAATGAAATTTAACGACAATTTAAAGGAAACATGTTTAAAATCTGTGAAGAGGTTTAAAATCTGTATTTTACATTTGTGTTTGTATGTGTAGTTGTGTTAAAAGGATGTACGTTGTTTTATGTATATAGGAAAAAAGATTAATTTTCTTCATTATCTAATTTAAGACTTCTAATCATTTCCTGTACGCTTTCAAGTTCTTCTGGGTGGCAAATATTCTCTGTTAGGAGCTTGTGGAGTAACTGCTGGACCGCCACCGATGAAACCTGTGTCTCCTTGAATTGCTGGAAATCCTCCGGCTCCTGGTCTAACAGTTGTTCCAAATCCAGTTGCTGGTGTAACGCCACCACCACCGGCTGTTGATGGTCCAGTTGGAAATCCACTAGCAGTTGATCCGGGAAATCCTCCTGGTGTTGGGGATGTACCTGGACCTGTCGGGAAACCACCTGCGGAGCCAGGTCCTGCTCCTGGAAATCCTGCTGGTGCTCCAGTACCGGCACCCGGAAATCCACCTGTAGTACCAATACCTGTTCCTGGGAATCCAGCTGGTCCAGTTGGGGCAGCTGGGTATCCTGCTCCTGGTCCAGTTGGTGGTCTAACTCCAGGCCGTGATCCAGGGAAACCAGTGCCGGCTCCTGGTCTTTGCGTGACACCACCAATTCCTCCAGCTCCTCCTGTTGAACCTGGTTGACCTACGAAACCTCCGCCTTGTGGTCCACCTTGCTGTGGTGGCCGTCCAGTTTGTGTATAATCATAAATGAAGGCGTTATTAGGATATAATGCTGGAGCTGATCCGCAATCGAATTGATTCCACCATACACATACAAGTGTTTCTTGAGAGAAAATTGTTCCATTTGGGCATAAGAAATCAAAAGTTTTATTTAAAGCACAAATATGAAAGACTTGGCATTGTGTTTCAACATCGGCATAATAACCAGGATATTGTTGTTGGTTACAATCGAACGAAGTTTGAGGAATATCAGAGAAAATTGGATAATCAATACCAGGAGTGCCAGGGATAGCTGAATAATCACCATCAGGATACGATCCATCATCGTTACCCAATCCAGTTCCACCTCCAAAAGATGTTCCAGGAGCTGTTCCCGGACGTCCAATAACACCAGGAAATGCTGGAGTTGGACGAATACCTGTACCTGGTCTTGAACCACCTGGTAATGAACTACCTGACCCTGTTGGAAAACCGGTTGATGGTCCAGTAAATGCTGGACCAACTGGTGTATCTGCGCTGATTCCTTTAAATAATTTTCATTGAAATATAAAATGAAACAACGTATTTAAAAATCAAATTTATTAGAACTAACCTGGTCTACTTGGAAAACCGGGAGTACCTGTTGATCCAGGGCCACCAAATCCTGGTCTTCCTGGAGCTGGAGATGGTCCTGATGGATAACCCCCAAAAGCTGGTGTTGTAGCTGTACCCGGAAAACTGCTACCTACAGAACCAGGAAATCCAGGTCGAGTGGGAGTTCCTCCAACCGGTAAACCTTGTGGACGATCGTAATTATAACCATTACTTTGGCCCTGGTTAATTAAAATAGATAAAAATATATTTAATATAAAAAAAAACAACTAGATTGAATTAATACAGAATTTCAAGTGCAATAAAAACTTTAATAACCATGTCAAGAACTTTAAGTTTATTGAGTTTTTAATATGAAACGGTATTTGTGTGAAATATTAAAAGTTTACTGCTTAGTTAGTATACGTGTACTCACCTGGCACAAATGGCTTAATGCAAGAAGAATAACTGCAAAATAAGAAATTATTTTTTACTTTAATAAATTATTGTATTTATTTAATTTTATTAACTTTGAGAATTATTTTAAGCTGTAATTTAATTTCTTATTGTTTTAAAAATATTATTGTACTTGAAATATTAAAGTAAAATATTGAAAAAATATGCGAAATATTTTAATTATATTTCATTACTACTGAAAAACCAGCTTGAAAAATCTAATAAAATTTTAAAAATATTATTAAAACATAACGCATGTGTGTTTGTGAGCATTTAAAAAATTTATTTAAAGATGTGTCTTGATAATTTTGGTTTGATATTTAAAAAATATGAAAATTTGAGAGAAAATGGACAAGATTTTATGTAAGAATCTCATAATAAGTACATACAGTAAAGAGAAGTAACTTTTCTTAACTCTTGGATTTATTAGTTCCAACCACTATTATTGGATCTCAGATAATAATGCAAAATTTTAAATTTAAAGAAAAATTGTGACTACAATTTAATTCTCTAAAGTGAAACAAAAGAGTTGAAGTTCAAAAGCGTGTTTATGAAAATTTATGTTTAGAATGCAAATTTAGTTTTAATAGAAATAATTTTGCTTTTGAGTGTTTCCATGTTAAATAATGTTTAATAAAATCTTAATATAGCTGATAGTAAATTATAGTAACTTGACAGGCAAGTTGACTGACAGAGACCCATTATCTATTCACACTTCTATTAGAAGATTAAACTTTGGTAATAATAAGTATTATTGCAGTAATTCCAGAAGTCGAAAAATGTATTTATTTTGCAGATTATTTATAAAACTAATTGCAAGTAATATTAATACTATTTGTATGTACCAGTATTAATACTAGTTGTATGTACTAGTATTAATACTAATTGTATTAGTAGTATTTAATAAAAAGTTAATATATTACCGGCAAAACAAAGATTCTAAAGTTATTGACATTCAGATTCAAATGTGAGAGAAATTTATTATTTGTTTTTAATTTTATAATTATTACCATAAAGGTATATGGTTTGATTTCAATTGCATTTATGCACACAATGAAGAATTTTGTTTTATTTAAACTTTATATACGAATCACATTTAATGTTACTAAACTAATGCTTCTTTGTTAAAAAGTTCTTTATTTTAAGCCGGTATAATTTCAAATAACAATAGAATCTCACAAATATTGTAAACATTTAATTAAAAAAAAAATTTAATTATTATAAATAAGCAAGCAAATTTTCTTGAAAATATTTTATTATTTAACTTAATTAACAAAAAGAAAAAAATAAAAACAAAATTTAATGTTTCTATTAAAACAATAGAAACATTAAATTAATTAATGAAATTTAAGAATAAATTTTTGAAATCTATTCGAGCATAATTAGTGTTCGGAATAGAACGGATTTCAAAATCTTCTTAAACACCATATTGAAAAATTTCGAGATGATTTTGACTTATTTATGTTTATAATATTTTCTTTTGCATAATTTTAATAATTTGAAATAAATTTTCTTTTAAACACAATTTAATTTCGAACTAAATGTTGTATAAATTTATTTATTTTTGTTTAAATTAGCAATAAAGATGAAAATGATTTTAGATAAAATATATTAAGCAAATTATTTTGTTCTTAAAACAAGTTATTTAAAATGATTTAATATTAAATATTTCTCAAATAAATTTAAAAACGAAAATGTTAAATAAAATATGTAGCAGAAGAACTTAAAAATAAGCTTATGTCAAACAATTGGCTTGTGAAGTAGCACATTTCCATTGAACAAACGAAAAAAAAAAATGTTTTTAGAAATAACCTTACATTACAGTCGAACATGCTTGATATAACATAGAACAATGTCCCAGAATTTGTGATTTTAAATGAGTTGTTAAAATAAGCAGTGCGCGAATAAATTCATATTATGTGAAATTAATTTAGAAAAATTATTAAAATAGTTGAAAACGTTTTTAACTGACAAATATTTAAACAGATAGAAAAACTGAAAACAATGACAACTATAAATCGTAATTAACAACTATTTTAAAGGGTACATTCCAAAAGAATGTAAATGTCGTAATGTCGTAAACAAAAAGATTTACACTTTTAGTTTAAAAAAGTAAGAAAAGTTTCTCTAGATTTTTTTGTAATGTTTTCTTGCCAAATATCAATTTTGTGATTTTAAGCAAGCGAAATTTAATAATTCTAATTTTTTAATTTATGTGATTTTAAGAAAGTTTCCATTAAGTGAGTTCGATTATGTATAAAAGTATATGGAGATTTTTCTTGTTAAAAACTTTATGAATGTATAACGAAATTGTGGTATTAGACAGGGTTGATATTAAGCATGTTTGACTGTATTTAAGTTTTTATATACTTTCAATCATAATCCAATATATTTCAAATAATTGCATACAATTAGGATGAACGAAAAAAAAATTGAAAAAGGCGCTAACACAATGGACAAGTTTTTAAATCTCTAATTAATAAACAAAAATAATTATATATTTGGTTTTATGGCATTTACCTTTAGCTTTCTGCATTTATAGAAATTAGGAAAAGCTTGCTTGTATATAAGGCACCGCAATTTCAAGAGCCGATAATTCGGGAGGAGTTGGAGATCAAAATTTCAAAAGGGACGTATAGGATTCACGTCATTCAAATTATTCGCAAATATGTTTACACATATTGTATTTTATCAATATTAAAAAATAAAATCATCCAAGTACATTTCTGCTTAATATAAAGTATATTTCACTATTCTTGCTGGTCTATTATTTTTTTAATGGCCACTAACGTGTAATAACAGCTAGTAATTCGTATACGTTATAAATAACACCTAGTTGAATAAATCATATTAAGTCGAAATGCCGCAGTAGAACAATAATCTGGTATAATATTATGTATAAACTATACATATATCAAATTAAATACAAAATGATCTCAAATTTAATATAAGTATAAAGTTAATTTTAAAATTATATATACGTAATAAGGAAATATTTATTTTAAATAATAAAAATTAATTATCAATTGTTAATTTTTAAAATTGTATACAAAATATTTACACATAATGTCTACGTATATTAATTTCACACATATTTTGTTTTAGGGTGCCATTAAGTATTTAAAAATATACAAGAATTCTTTATATAATTTATTCGAATAATTATGCATTTAAAATATATATACAATTTTTGAATAGATCACCATAATAGAAACTGTTAATAATAATTTTACTATATTCAAGAAATTTTATGAGACGAAATCGATTATGTATAGGTACTTGCAACTTCATATATGTGAATATAGAAAATAATATGTAATTGATTACTAAGTACATTTTTCTGATCTTAATGTTACTTAACAATATCATCAAGGTAATCGACATTGTATTGTTCTTTTAATTATGCATGTACTTTTAATAAATAAAAAAATAAAAAATAAAATAAATTTAATAATACACTTAGATTTTCTAAAGTGCATTTCACATCAAATTTTTTCAATAGATTTTAATCGATTTTTTATTTTTTATAATATCATAATAATTTAAATGTTAACAGAATAAGGCATTTATAATAAAAGGTTAATAATTAATTGAATATTATAATTGATAATAAATATGAGAATTAATAAATCAAAGTCAAGTGTTTTTTAAAATGTTAACACAATAATATTAAAAAAAAATATTATGATTATTTAACTTTACAATAATTCAATTAATTTATTATAGGTTAACGTATTTGAAATTTATTATACTCGAAATTTTTTCATATTAAAGAAAGAATACCCAAAATATTTGACTCAAGTACCTTTGATATTTTGTTTAAAAATATATAGAAGAAAGCTGTTCCTTTGTAATTGATATTTGATAGCACATGATAGCACTTAATTGCTCATTTAACAGTTAACAGTTATGGTTTCAATTGAATTTTCAAAAATTTTTTAATGTGAAAATGAGAAAAAATTTTTGTAAATTCAAATAAAATGAAATTGTAATTTTTATTTTCACTTATTCATTAATCATCTCACTAGTAACTCATCATCAATTCAAAATATTTAGAATGATTGGTAATTAAAATTAAATTAAAATAGTGTAAAAAAATTATTGACGTTTATGTTGTTTCGTTGTATCCGTTTGTAGTTGTCATTTGCTTAAATTCTTAACTATTTTTTTTTTACAAAAATTATAAAATACAAAAAGTTGTAAGAAAATTTAAATTGTTGTAAATTTTTGTAAAACTTAATTTTCAATTCAGAGAATTCAGAGCGGTAATTAAATTTTTTCCCTGCAATAGATGTTAACCACGGCTAATCAATATAAGCTAATCTTTGAAAAATTTTATCTACATATATCTCGCCACTACAAGTTATGGAAATCCAAACCGAAAGTTTTTGATTATTTTGATTGTATTGAAACCATAAAAAAAGCAAACGCAGAAATCTATGCTGTATAATTAAAGCATTAAAATGACGAAATGGTCGTTGAAATTAATCATTATCTGAAACACATTTTTTTTTAAATTTTTGGTATTATTTTTCTACTAGCAAGTAAGTTATGGAGTTCTAAAATTTTAGCAGCCGGCAGATGATATTAAATAGTTTTAATTTTGTTTGCACTTCCATCACCTCCCAAGTTATCGCCAATCGAAATTCTTAAAATTTTAATTTTCGGTGCACTTTATTTTAGAAACTGCAAGCTTTTAAAGTTATATAAAAGCAAAAGTCTAGTGGAAATTCCATGCCATCAAAAAATTGGATTACTTATTTTAAATCACTTAACGTCGAATTCGACCATTATGTTAACGGTTCTTTCAATTTTTACTTTTCCTCATCCTAAATGTATGCAATAATTTAAAATACCATAGACATATTTTCATATAAAGAATTTAATTAATGTAGTAGATTATTTTTAGCAGTCTTTATTCGCTTATTCAAGGAAAAAGTGCTACTTTATAAACAATTGATTTGATTTAACTTTTTAACTGTGTATTTGAATGTACATATGCAAAAAATTCG